AATACCTATAAACGGGAAAAGGGTAATTATTCGTTGAATATACTGTCGTAGTAGCAAGAATTCGCAAGAAAGCTAATTTATCTTTTCTAGCTATAAGAGTCATGTCCAAATATCATGCAATGATGCAATTTGTAACAGGTGGGGGTGTCATGCTATGGGTTACTGCCCCCAAAGTAGCGGGGTAGCTTCGGGTGTACCTCATGCCGAGAAATAAAAAGAAAGAGGGGGCGACGAGGGGGAAAAACAGCGTCAAAGAAGACGAGACAATACCTTTCTCTCGAATTAGACAGGTGCCCCTCCCCCTTAAGGATAAGACCCGCACTATGCCACGCCCCCAATGTGTCAATCATCAAGGGGTGCATGGCAGGTGTTAGGGCTATGAGCCGAGGTAGTCGTACCACCAGCGAAGCACTCCTGGAGGCTGTTCACACCGCAATGAGATAGCGCGGTCTATCGTAGCACCCCCTTTTTTCTAGCGCGCGCTAGACCGCGCTTTCTCTCGTGGACCACCCCCGAGAGGTGCTCCAGTTGCACGCCGTTTTGGCTCGCCGTGGCTCGCTGTTGGGCGGACCGAAACGACGTTGTACCTTCCAAACCGGAGAGATAGCGCGGCCTAGCGCGCGCTATCTCTGCCGGTGTGAACAGCCTCCTGCATGAACTCTTGGCCCGAATTCACAAAGGAGGTTTGTCGACCAACCTAGGTTTTCGTGCGTCATTATATGACGCGTTTCGACGCGTTTTTACCAGAAGAAGAAGAGGATGTAGAAGAAGAAGAAGAAGAAGAAGAAGAAGAAGAAGAAGAAGAAGAAGAAGAAAAAGAAGAAGAAGAAGAAGAAGAAGAAGAAGAAGAAGAAGAAAAGGAAGAAAAAGACGAAGAAGAAGAAGAAGACGAAGAAGAAGAAGAAGAAGAAGAAGAAGAAGAAGAAGAAGAAGAAGAAGAAGAAGAAGAAGAAGAAGAAGAAGAAGAAGAAGAGAAGAAGAAGAAGAAGAAGAAGAAGAAGAAGAAGAAGAAGAAGGAGAAGAAGAAGAAGGAGAAGATTAATAATAACAATATGGGCTAACTTTATAAAGCTTGATAATACGTGAACGATGTCTTCGAGAATTTTTGAGAAATATCATTACCCAGTATTCAAATTCAGGCTTGCTTGGACATGTAATCAGTGGCGTATTCAGACAAGGATTAAGAGTAAAAAATGGTACAACGAATCTTCTTCTTTCTCTCTAATGATTTAATGAAACGTCAAAGCTTCCGCGCAGGGGAATCTGCGAATGCTTCCTTCTCAGGGAGGGGGTTCTTACCCCCTTCCAGACCCACCCCACTTGGTTGCTACGTTCCCTCCCCGCTGACGCCTCGCTCCATTATTTTTCATATATTTCACCTCATGCGAATTTGTGCCCCCCCCCCCTCCCCTCCGGTAAGAAATTCCTGGATCCATCACAAGACGCTCACAACTACAACGCTTTCGCATCATAAATACTGGGTACCCATTCAACACCTCAGAGCAGAGAATGGAGCAATGAAGATAAAAGCCTTGCTTCAGGACATAAAAGCCGTGCCGGGGATCAAACCCAAGATCCCAAGAGCATCGTGTCTCCAGGAGAGTGATGAAACCACTCGACCACGAAACTTATACATCATCCTTTTGTAATCTCTATTTTTTGTCTTTCATTATTTTGCCAAATTCTTTTCTAAATTCCTTTTGCCCCAAGTATTGCTATCCTTTTACAATAAGAGGTGGTCATTCTCCAAATAATGTGCCATCTTCCATCATTTTCCACACCATCCACACACCTTGAATTAATATTGTGACAAAGTGTAAATAACTTGCATTTAATACCTGTCATTATTAGTGCGCTTGGTTTCAGTGGCGGATCAGACATTATTTTTTTTTTTTAAAGAGGGGGGGGGGGGGGGGGGGGGGAGGGGAGGAGACAAGGGCCATAAACTATTGCCCCTTAACTGCTGACCCCGGCCCCACCATTTATGTCCCCTGGTTACCCCCAAACCCCAATCGGTCACAGACTCTTACCTTGAGCCCCCCTCCCACACACACACCCACACACGCCGTTTTAATTTCAGATATCCTACAGTGGCAGGTGGGCGACATTGTTCTGGAGATGTTGGCCTTTCTTGTCGTTTTCTTCTTAATCAAGTTTTCTTCTTATCTAACCGATACAAACGAGGCTCTGTGGCAGAGCTAAAACGGGGGACTTTTATTTTATTTTATTTTATAAAAGTTAAAGAAGAGTTGTACATTAAGATGCTGTAAACTATCAAAAGACATACTGGAAAGGTAATATATTCTCAAACATGCCCTAACAATATATTTGAATCAACATTTTCCTACATTAAACACAAGTACATGTAACACAACGATGGGCATTGAGAAAGAATATTCATGTAGTGTAAAGAGCTTTTTTTTATTGAAAAATAATTTGACATCAAATAATCTACATGATCAATGTGTCGATAGAGTAGAGATGAATTGGTTTTGGGTAATATGCATCATCAAAAATGTATACAGTCAATTGTATTGTATGCTAACTGAAACATGCAAAATAAATAAATCCATAGTTCATAGAGAATAATCTTGACCGAGTCCGAAGAATAGTGACAGGTGGTAAAAAAGGACACAAACGTTTTCATTTATTCTTTCATATTTTCACACCACCTATACACTCGGCACATTATTATCATTATTATTATTATTATTATTATTATTATTATTATTATTATCATTATTATTATTATTATTATTATTATTATTATTATTATTATTATTATTATTATCATTATTATTATTATTATTACTTATACAGCGCTTTCCCCATAAGGCCAAAAGCGCTTACAGTGAATAAATATTAGATTAACATAAATAATATCTTATTTCTACAAACTGCAAAAAAGATGTGTTTTTAAGGCCTTTCTGAAGGTAATGACCGATGGAGACCATTCCAGTATTTTGAAGCAGATACAGTAAATTTCCTATCACTTGTATATATTGGAATCAAAGTCTAGAAACAATTTCGAATTTTCAACCCTATTCTATAAAATGTTGCTAGGTAGGACAAGCATTATGGCTTGCCTTACCTACCTTACAACACAAAATGTATGCAATTCACATTCTGACTAATGCAATTACAAATACAATTATTCGTAACAGGTGAATGAAATAATTTGTAACGAGGCACTTGATACATTACAAAAATAGCCTAATCCTAATTCAAGTTTGGAGCTGTAATTCACAGACTCACAAATTAAAAAAAAGGGGGAAAACACAAAAAAGTTCAGCCTTCAATTGTAGCCTTTAAATAGTCTAATCAACTACCATTTTATTAACTTATTGGAATGAATATATCTCAACAATTTGTTGCTGCGGGGTACTTCGACACACCTTACCCCTGTCAATTTTTTCCAAGGCTTGTTAGCAAGATAAATTTATTCAAGAAAGAATTACATGCAAGTCTTTCAGGATTTGTTAGGTTGGTTCTGAAAGTATTAAAACATCAGATTGAATTTCAGTACCACTGTTTCCATCTGTAGAGATTTAAAGATCTCTTCTGATTTTTTGTTATTCTGTCAGGGGGCTAATTGAGTACAGACATCCAAAGGGGCAACAATAAATGGTGATTAGACGTAACTCTTAAGATAAGATACAAGTCAGCGTTAACTTAATTGAGAATCGATTCCTTACGACTTAAGTTAGGTTTGCAGAGTGTCGATGGGCCTAGGAGTGATAATATGCCAGCTAACATCTATTTCCCTTTCGTAAAGCAGTTATTATCTTCGTGCTTTAATACGTTTTGTACCATACTTGGCTAGACAGAAAAATATCTGTGGTTTGAAAAGTTTGATAACGATTTTTTTCTTCTTAATTTTGTTGCTCATCTCTCTGGAGCCAGACGTAGACTTTGTGGAGCATATTCCTGAATAGAAAAAGGCTGTCTTGTTCAATTGTACACTAAACTTTCTTCACATTTTCTGTGAATCAAGAGATGTATTTTAATTCCTTCCAAGATGCACCGGTGTGTTGGCTCAGTCAGTAAAGCGTCCGCCTCACAACCGGGAGGTCGTGGGTTTGAACCCTGGCTGCGTCATACCAAAAGACGTTAAAAGACGGGAGTTGCTGCTACCTTGTTTGGCATTCAACAATAAGGGATAGAGCAACGTCGATCTGGCGCTGCTCAGTGGCTGCCGGGCTCACGATCAATTGGGCAAAAAGAATTTCCATTTTTGGTTTAACTATATAAAATTTGGAGTGGACTTTAAAAGATGATTATTATTATTGATTATTATTTATGAGATGTGGTATTTTCATTATCAAAGGACCTAGTACATTCAACGTTTAATAAAATACAAATTAATTTTGTCACATGATTTTGATAGGAAGAAAATAAAGAATTAATTGAGCACAGAAAGATCAGAGATATTTATGTAACTATGGATGAGGTTGCCATACAACTTCACAGATTCCAGGTAACTTGGTGTAAGGGACAACTCAGATTCTGTGAAAAAACTGAGACCAACTTTGCCAGGCAAATTTTTCATTTAGTACACAGGTATTAAAACATGAATGTTTAAGTACATTTTATAGGAATGTGTAAAATAGTTACTAAATAACTACTTCTTGATAATTCAAAGACATAAAACTATACAAAACATGGATTTTAGGGGGATTCGAGATGAGCGAAAGACTCTTCTGCGAGTTTACATTCTGTACTGAGTGTTTAGACTAATACCGGCTCCGAACAAACTATCATTTGTTGACATAGACCATGATTGGGATGCATTGATATTAACCAAGCATTGTCTTAGCCATTTATTCAGCCATTGATGCACCAATCAAAAGAATTCAACATTAGAGACATAATGAACAAGGTTGTCAGATGTAAAGGGCTTGTACAAGTCTAATATAGATGGTCAATTATTGTCCTATTACCCTAAATAAAGGAAACTAAACAATAATTTGTTTTAATCTTAGTTTATTTAAAAAAAAATATTTTAGCATATTCAAGCTCTAGTGGGGCTGTCGGTGAGAACTTGACAGAATCATTGTGTATACATACTAAAAATGTTGATGATTTCCGCAACATATGGGACGAAATACCTTGGGCTTGCCGCCTTGCCTACAAGACTCTGTGGCAGATACAGTAGTTTGGATTTGCCAATAACATGACAGAAAGCCTCATTAAAATTGACCAAAGACTTTGAAGTCACAAGAGTTGCATAAGTTGAGGTCTTTTCTAGTGACACCGTTGACCCAACACTGTTTCACTGACTGTATGTAAAGCAGTATGATAATGATGCATAGTTATGAGAGTAAGTGATGTTACTAAACATAATAACAATAATAATAATAATAGTCCTTTCTTGTAAAGTGCATATCAATATAGAATTGTACAGGGACATTACACCGATCTCAGCCAGACTGAGAGACCGTCGCCTCCGTTTCAGTGGGCACTGCTGGAGGAGCAAGAGTGAAATCATTTCACAAATGCTCTTCTGGGAGCCCTCAAGAGGCAAACGCACCAGAGGGCGCCCATCAATGACTTACATTGACCAGTTAGAAAAGACACCTGTCTACTAAGGCAGGAGCTCCCAAAGATCATGGAGAATAGAACTGAATGGAATAAGCTTGTCAAATCAGTGCAAGTATGCTCGACCTAGTAGTAGTAGCTTCAACAGGATTTCGGATAGTATTACCCTATCTTCATCTCAGGCAACCGTGGCGCTCAGTGCATTCAAGGAATAGATCCTACAAGGTACCCACTTACTACACCTGGGTCGAGAGTGGCAAATGTAGATTTTAATGTCTTGCCAAAGGGGGAATGTGCTATGGCGGGGATTTGAATCCTGTACCTTGTGGTTCACAGTCCTGAGACTTATCCACTAAACCACAACAACACACTCGTGAACTCAGAACATGCTCTGCCTCTGTCACTGTGATGCTACGATCCAGTGTCCTGTGACGATTCAATGCTCATCTGTGATCATGACTTTCATTCATTGATGCAGCAGTGAGTCCATTGGCAAATAATAATAATAATAATAATAATAATAGTTCAGTTCTTGTATAGCGCATAATACGTTATGAAATGACATCTCTATGCGCTTCCAAAGAGCTTTGGACTTTTATTACCCTAGCTCCGGCAGCCTTATCTGTGCACAGTGCATTACAAGGAATAATCCTACCAGGTACCCATTTACCTCACCTGGGTTGAGTGTGGCAAATGTAGATCAATGTCTTGCCAAAGGACACTAGTGCCGCAGCGGGACTCGAACAGCGGACCTTGTGATCGACAGTCCGGTGACGTATCCGCTCGACCACAACACCTCTGCAAAGGCATATTATATCTTGCATTGAAAGAAGTCAGGAAGACTGTCCATTTTCTCAGGGTGTCTTACATCAGGGTTGCATGCAAGACTGCCTATGTTCCTTGTGGCGGGCGTACACCATGGCCAGTATTTCAGCCTGCACTTCCATCCGTAGGTCAGCCGGAATCCGTAGAAGGGTACACTTAAGGTGTCCCAAGAACGCTTTCACCTCCTCCTCATCGCTGGAAACGACAGGCTGATGATGCGAGGTGGTGCTGGTGGTAGTTGGGATGCTGGTTGTCGGGGCCTCTTGGACATCAATGGAATGTTGAGGCTGATGATGAACGGTGGTATGCGGGACATAAGTTCTTAAACTCTGATCCAATTCGGTCGTTCTTGACTGCAAAGACAGGAAAAAAGGTACAAGAATAACATTTATATTTTATTCATTTCAAGTTTAAATTAGATACAGTTGAGTTATTGTCATGCGATTGCATTGTGAAAGAATTGGTGTGGATCGACCAGAAAAGGTTGATCATATAGCATATAAGTATTCGTGTGTATTGCAAGGTTCTGGAATCATCAAAATGAGAAGAACTTTGGCCCAGTCTTGGTAAAGTTACAAACACTGTACACATAAAGATGTATATGGGACTACACGAACACGTGGCGTAAAAATCTGTCCCAATTTTTACGATGGTACATGACATATTTAGAATATGAAGGCATTTGAAGAGCCATCCTTTTCAGGGAACACATGTTTTATCTGATGTACTTCCACACTTGCATAATAACAATGATAACACTCACAAATTATTTTCCACCTCTTCCCAGAACTCAACCTTCTCTTTAAAGCCCCTCTAAAGTGTTGGGAGCCCTATTTTAAAATGTGATGGCAAAATTTCACTTCTATTGTATCATAATGTGAAAGAGGATGTAATCTAAGACACACTTTTGCAAAGATTTTCCTGAAAATAATTGTTTGAAGAAAAATATTGATAAAAGATTACATAATTTTTGTTTTCTGTTGTACTCAGAAAACCTTAATTTTGTATTCTTTCATCAATATTTGTCTATTCCTCTAAACCAAATTGTTTTGAAAATCCTTGCAGAAATGAGTCTTAAATGACATCCTCTTTCACATTATGATACAATTCAAGTGAAGTTTGGGGCTCCAAACACTTTATAGGGGCTTTAAAGCAAGTTATGTTTATAATCTTAAAGGTGAAATTCAAAGAAAATCACAAATATGTCAACTAGTTTATCACTAGAAACTGGTAAGCTAATAGATGGCCATCTGACAAGTTTTAGGTCAACTACATATCGGGTGATTTATAAAAATACAAATACAACCACCTCCATAGCAGCTTGGATATACGAAAGATTCGCCGGAAAAATAATGATGTTTTAATGACGTCACTATATGGACCAACACTGCCCAAGCAGACGACATCCCATAGAGAATGAACATAATTGCAAAGCTATTATTTCTCAAATTATAATGAGGTTAGTGTATATAAATGTAATGGCATGTCAAATCATTCAAAAAGGGATATGACCTGATTCTAATGACTAAAATCTTTTGCTTGTAAATACACAGGCTAGGGGTTAATTAACAATCAAAGAAACCAGAATTTCAAATTGAAAACCCCCCGGAATGATAGTAAGGACGGCATGTGTTCCCTCTTGAAACGCCGAACATACCCCGGTGTGTGCAGCTGAATATACAATGGCGTCTTATTTTGTTTACAAGCGACAGATTCCTTTATTTTTGTATCGCTCCATTTGTCATCAAAATAAAACCATGCGTGGGGTTTAGAGTGAGGCAATAGATTATATATTTAGCCTGACGGTAGTGAAGTAAGAGAAAGAACTCAAGAGAAGATGAAAATACAGGCACTGAAAATGTGTGAGATATCATGGGACATCGTCTGCTTGTGCAACTCATGTCCATACAGTGATCTCACACATCTCTGCAGCGTTCGGAGAGCTCTTCAGTTGCTACGCCGGCGCAGTATTTAAGCGTTTTGTAATTTATAATAATCATTACTTCGAATGTTTCCAAGCATTGAATTTTGGTAACCTTGTCGAATCAATGTTTCAACTTTGCAATAATGAAAATAAAGTTAGTTTTTAAAATCAATGAATATCTACTTTAAAGAAGAGAGGTCTACAATGTATGTCAATGGTAAGGACCTAAAGTATATTTTGTGTTGTTGTTTTGCTTGTATGTTCCATGTCAAATTCATATCAGCAGGATTTTAGTAGACAATTTTGGGAATCCCCCCCCCCCCCCCCCCCCCCCCCCCTTCCCTACCCTTCCCTTCCCTAAAAAAAACAGGAATAATAAATCCACACTGAAAAACTTATATTTTATCATTGTGTCTCAGCCGACAGCCATTTATTTACATGGTGATGAATACTGGTGAAAGTCAATGGTAAAGTTGCTGGTCAGTGGGATGGAACAAACTGGATTCCTTGATTTTCTATTTTAGTTTTTTTGTCTTCTTTCAAATAGCAAGGAGTTCATATTTTCTCTGGTAGAACACAATCTTATTCCTCTTTGGTCTTCAATGAACAAATCTATTTTGGAGACAAGGATCTTGAATTTAGACGAAATAAATGAATCTGTCAAAATTTGGACTTTATACCAGTAAACATCTAACTTAACTAAAAATTAAAGGTATTTACATTTGTGTGTACATGAAGAAAAAACCCATTGAATAACCCATGTCCTTCTTAGTTATGTAATACATTAATAAAAAAAGAAATGCAGTTGATAGTCTACCTTTGTGCGCAGTTCTTGCTCCTGGGCGGCTACATGTACATCCATCCTAACCTTCTTCGAAGAGACATCCTGCCTTGCAGTCTTGGTCTTCCCACGAGACCTGGCCGGGCTTGATACATAGCTGTCCCTGAGCGGAATGGGTACTGGTCCTACCAGATCGTTGCTGCTGCTGCTAGTCCCTGGTACTATCTCCACCCCCATACTGACATCAGACCCCCCAGACGGAGAGTCCTCACCGGAGCTTCCCTTGGGAAACTGCATAGAGTCATGCAAAGTAAAGGTGTCACAGTTATTAGCTCTGCAAGATACATACATGACCGAAGTTTGGCAGGTATCCATCAATCGGTTCTTGAGATAACGTGATCACAAGAACGGGACGTACGGACGGACAACCAGAAAACATAATGCCTCCGGCTACTTCTTAACGAAGGCACAAACAAAATATACATGTATACGTACTCTTTCTTTAGTCAGTCTTAAGAGATGTTGCTCTCATGAGCCATCAGCCTTTGGCAGGGGTGATAGTGAGCACTTTTTTCCCCCCTCAACCACGCCCCCCTTGAGTAAAAAAAAAAGAAGAGGACTTGGGGGAAAAAATGGCATCTAACAACATTTCCCCCCTTTTGAGTAAGAAAAAAAAAGAAAAAAAAGTTGGGAAAAAATCGTGATTTTTTTTTTTTTTTTAAATCAGGAAACAGATTTAAATCTGGTTTTTATCAGGCCTGACTGCCTTTGTCAATGCCAATCTCATCGTCTGTCAGTCTCCTGTGATGACCTTGGTGCCACGATAAAGGGCTAATGCATTCAAGCAATTTCTTCCTACCAGGTACCCATTTATCTCACCTGGGTGGAGAGTGGCAAATGTATATTAATGTCTTGCCAAAGGATGCTAGTGCCACGGCAGGACTCTATAACCGCCAAACATGTCATCCACAGTCGAGCGACGTATCCCATGATCCCACTAGACTATGGGGGTGTTTCACAAAGATCCTAAGTTGAACTTAACAATTTGCGAAAGCTGTTAGTGTCTCTGAAAATAGTTTGTAGAAGTTATTTTAAAAGGCACAAAATGTTGATTCAAATCATTCATATTTTCTATTATCATGGGAGATTTCATGTTCTTGATGTAGAATTTATGAAAAGTCTAAAATACTAGAATTTTCGCTTTTTAATATATTTTATTTTAAGGCTACAAATGGCTCTCCATAGTTTTTAAGTCCAACTTAGAGTTAAGTTAAACTTAGGATCTTTGTGAAACACCCCCCATGACACCTCTACATGTCATACAAGAGATAAGAATAGAAACCAAACAATTACCTTGCTACCGGACTTGATATTGCGATGAATGATGAACGGTATTAGGAAGTCTAGTCTTTCCCACACCCATTTACACCGAGGCGTTCTTGGTGTCCACCCCTCTCCGATGGGCGTCGCCCCGAGTGCCTGGCCCTCCTTAAGGATGTGATTCATCTTGGTCCTTAAACTTCGCAGATGTGTCTGTACATCTTCAGCTGCCATGGAAATAATAAGAAGAGAAGAAACAAGATTTAGAAATCAAAGGGAAACTAAAATACGTGTAGGTCAGGACAAATTGAATGAAATCAGAGAGTTCTTAAAGATGAAAATATGTAAAGATGTGATATTTGGGGTTTGGGGTTTCGTGCTGGATGTACATAGCAAACAAATTTGACATAGCTGATCCACAGTATAAAACTTGCACAGCATGAAAAAAGAACAATGGACTGGTAAACTTAAAATACCCTTTAGCTCTGGTTAAAAAGAATGAAAAAGGAAAAACAAGCTAACAAAACAGTTGTAAGGAGAGTAGTAATAGTACTAGTAGTAGTACTACTACTTCATGTTGTGCAAGTTTTTTACTTTGGATCATGTCAAATTTGTTTGCTATAAATACAGTTGTACATCCCTCCAGTTTAAACACCTCTAAGGCTTCTTTTCGAGGACTCCTACCAAGTAGTAGAAATAATGGTAATCTGCCACAAGGTCCATTGTACAAATACATAACAATAATTAAAGGGATCGTTTGTTATCAGTGTCTGTTATCAGTGTCTGTAATGTGGTGTTATATTGAAGCCCTAAAAACTTTGCGCTTAAAAATGATTAAGAAGTGCCTCAAAAAAGTAAAAACCTTTGAGTGACCGGTTTTACCATACTCATTTCCCCCAATAGACTGTAGCATTATGAAAACCATTTGCCAAACGCAAAATTTGATTTCGATTTTCAATCATAAATATCTTGATAATCAGACAGGGATCGGCTATATAAGTCATGGGGTTCCTGACTGACCTAAAGGTTTATACTTATCATTGCAGCATGAGCTAAACCAAGGATTTTTTTTAAGGGATCTGAGACAAAGTTACCGGATCCCTTTAATACAACAAAGGATGATGACAAACAAATGAAACTCACCCATACAACCATCCCCTATCTCCTCTGCTTTGGATGTAAACAACCTCTCCCTCAGTGACCGGTCAAGATATCCCTGACTGTTGCTGTTATACAGACTCTCATTCTGCCTCCACCACTCAACAAGCTCCTCCTCTTGCTGATCCGTCCAAGGGAACGTCGTCTTAGGTCCCTGTCTACCTCTCGTCTTCTGGCCCTGACTATACTTCCCAGGTGTGTGTGTTCGTGCATGCCTCCTCAGTTGGGACTGTGATGGAAATACCTGATGTTCTTGTGCATGAACTTTCATATGTTCAAGGAGATTGGGCTCTCTGGAAAAGGTACTGTCGCAATGAAAGCACTTTAAGAGTTGTCTACTTGCCCGCTCGTGTTCGTGATTTACTTGTTGCAAGTGCTGCCGAGTGTTGTTGTCAGAAGAATTGATACCTGCAACAAATTTATGAGATGACAACTGAAATGATAATCAAATTCTCCTTGTAATGAGTTGGTTTGTGTGTAAGCAAAATACTATGAAAAACAGGATGGAGAAAATCAGATATATCAGAAGAAAAATGAGAATGATTAACATTCAAAATCTATGAGAATCTCATTTCTCAATGAAAAAGGACCTCTTTGGAAAGAACAATCTCAGTCAGCACATCTTACAATGAGTTCCATATTGATACAAACAAAATGACTGATCAAAACTTACCTAAGGGAACCAAATTAACCATTCTGATTCACCTCATATAATGAAGGATTAAGCAAGTACATGTATGTCAAGTTCTTGACTGGTCTATTCACTTAAGTCAGTAGGGTGCAATTCAGTTTGTTTTTAATGATTAATTTAGTAGTTTGTTAGACTTCAATAAAGAGTGAACTGAACTGAATTTCAATATCTACAAATTGTAAAATCATTTTCAAGAAGTGATGTTAAAAGCTTATGTATTTTTAATTGAAGATCGATACTACTCATAACATGAAAGCCAAAACATACACAGCAGAAACTTGTTGATTTTCCTGAGGTAGTATTGACCTGGCTCATCATATCAACTTTGTATGTACAGATCTAATAATTGTGCCATATAGTTCCATACCTCTTTCCATGACATGATTGCTGGGGACAGCATTTCCCATTCCATCATTAATCCAGCCTTCAACGTCGGTATCAGAGTTATCTCCACAATTGTTTCCATCTTCTAATAATGGATCTATCAAACCATCGGTGCCATCAACATGTTTGGGGGATGAAAGAACAGCACTCCAACCCTCTGTCTCAGATTCTTCTTTAATGAAGTTGAGTTTCATGGAGTTGCCTTCCTTGGTGAAGCTTATGGGATTTTCTTCTGAAGACTCTTGCTCTTTGTCGATTTCATCTTGCCCTAAGAAAAATAAAAACAACACAATTAAAATAATATAAAGAAATAGGTGATGCCGCCGCCTTTTGTTTTTCCCCAGGGGAAAAGGAAAATGTGATCTTTGTAAACAGGAAGTCACTGATTAAGGTTTTCAGTCATTTATGTTAATTTGAAATAAAGACTTGATTAAAAAACATTGTTGATACTCATGATATGGGGTGGCACTGGTGTTTTCACATTTTAATTTTATTTCTGGAAATAATATATATGATTTTAATTTTTAGGCCTTTCAGCTTTAGATAACTCATTTTAAAACATTGTAAGGAATATTTGTGGCAAAAATAATCTTGACTGGTTGCCAAACAAAAATAATTAACGACAACGAAAGGAGAAATTACTCAGATTTTCACTCAATTGTTTTAGTTTCTTCATCTATTTATTGATAATGTTTCATGAATACAACAACAATAATAATAATAATGAAGATGATGATGATGATGATGATAATAATAATAATCATAATCATTGTCATAATATTTATCATAATAATAATGAAATTAAAATAATATCAATAACAATTTCAATCAATAACAATGGGGTTCTTATAAATAGCACACTTCTGCAATTATAATTGGCATTAGTTTTAAGATCGAACTTAATTTGAAGTTGCAGCATTAAATATAGAAAGAAAAACATTTTAACTAAATTTTTGTGGTTTTAACCAACTTAGCACGTCGAAGTCAGAAGACAGGGTCATGCAGACTCAGAAGTGCGAGTCAAAAAGAAAAGGGGATTTAAATTTTCATGTTTTAAAGGGGAAGTCCACCCTGAAATTAAGTTAGTTTTAATAGGAGTAGAAAAATGAGAGAAACAAGTCAGTGAAAGTTTGAGCAAATTCCGATTAAAAATAAGGAAGTTAGGATTTTTGAAGTTGTGATCAATCAAACACAAATTGGCAACTCTATGACGTATCATGCGAGCTCAACTTCCATTTGCTCAGTACTAAAAAAATCTAAAATTTTCATTTTCCCTCAAGAAAAATTTCAACCATACATGCACCCTTTAATTGCAAATATGTTTCTATACTCCCCCTGCAAGGAACAAATATATATTCCGTCATCAATAACGAAGAAAACATTATTTTATGGAATATTATGCACAAAGCAAATGAAGGAGAGCTCGTATAATAAGTCACAGAGTTGCCAATTTGTATTTGATTGATCACAACTTCAATAATTCATAACTTTCTTATTTTCATTCAGAATTTGCTCAAACTTTCACTCACCTGATTTTCTTATTATTCTGCCTCTATCGAAACAAACTTATTTTGGGGGTGGACTTTCCCTTTAAAACTTCTACTATTGAAAACCACATGAAAAAACACAACAAAACAAGACCTAGGTCTAGTCACTATGAACATGACTGACAAAGAAAGCGGACAAAATATACAGTTCCTCAGGTAGACAAAGGAACATCCCTTCACTGCTATTGTGTAAAAAGGTGAATATGCATGTGACACCTGTTCTACACATTTTTACATAATAGCAGTGAAGGGATGTTCCTTTGTCTACCTGAGAAACTGTATATTTTGTCCGCTTTAATTGTTAGTCATGTTCATAGTGAGTAGAAGTAGAATTACAGCTGTCTGCAATAACTCACCAGACTTCTCCATTTTGTGCAACGCAGCGCGGCGTCCTTTGACTTGAGTCACGTCAAGTGGTTGTGTTGCGTTTCTTTCGCTTGCAATCCGAATGACCCAGCCAGCGCCACATACAACACACAAGACAAGTCAGCTCAGTAAACTTGTGTGTATTGTCAATATGACAGTGTTGTATCAGCAGCTCGAGCTGCACACAATAGCGGAGCTCTCGTCCTACGTCTTACCACCGACGCGTGACGCGTCAGGCTAGGCGTCACTCGCACTGACGTAATTTCTCAAGTGATGTGAACAAAAGAGGAATTCCCGGTGTCATCTACATCGGAAATGTCATTAAAAAGTCCAGAACGTCAACCAGAGTATAATAGGGAATGATATATTGTAGTTTCTATTAGGAAAATGTGTTAATTACCGATAACAAAACCAACAATTCGGAGACAGAGCTGGCTGTGTGGCGCAAATCGACAACACGTCAATCTAGGAAGTACGGAGTGCGAAAGATGCACTAATATCAGGGAGGTGAGTTGTAGCCTGAAACCTCTTCATCATGAAACTCGTAAAACCCCTGTATAACAACTGGAAATAATCAGTAGTTTCAAATTATTTATCTGAAGTAATCATTCGTCAAAACAAACAAATAACACATTTTGCCATGATTTACTCAAACAAACATTGTTTTGTCCGATGTCTACACTTCGCATACCATACATAAGGCTGATAATTGGTTGACGTCACTCGCAAGTTGGATGCTGCGCACAATCAGGGCGCGGCGCCAAGCCACTGCGCCAATTATTCCACTTCAGTGGAATTCGTGCCAAGGTGAGCGGGCAAAATTTGATAGAGCAAGAAAGAATATTCCCAGCTTGCCCTAATGATCACGTTTACCGGCGTGTGTTCATGTGTTTTAGGTTATAAGTACATAATTAAGTTAAGCTGGTGCAATTATCAGTGGCGGATGCACGTTCCCCCTGTGCCCCCCCCCCCCCCCCCGTATAAAAAAAAAGGGGGGAATGGGGAAGGAAAGGGAGAAAAGGAGAAAAAGGAGGGGAAAAGAAAAAAAGGGAAGAAAGGAGAAGAAAAGAGGGAGGAGAAAAAGGAGGCCGGGGAATCGAAGAAAGGGGAAGAGAGAGGAGAGAAAAGGGGAAAAGGGAGAATAATGAGAAGGGAAAAGAAAGAAAGGGGATGATATTATAAGAAGGTGTTTTTTTACGGGGAAAGGGGCGGGGGGGGGGGGGGCACGTAATTTTGAAATGTGCATAATATGGTCCCTCTTGCCAAGCGTGTAGTCCCCTCCCCCCCCCCCCCCAAAAAAAAAAATGCACAAGAAGAACCAAAAAGAGATGGAAAAAGGGGGAAAGAGAGATTTTTTGTGAGTTAAAGGGAAAATTTAAAAAAAGGAAAGAGAATTAAACAACGATAGAAAAGAGGTGCGAGGGATAACAACCAGTGGCGTCGATAAATGGGGTGTGGGGTGCAACATCCCCCACACCTGTCAAGATATTGTCGGTAAAATTGCGCTACTGTCGGGGAAAATAATGAAAGGGGGAGGGGAAAATGAGAGGGAAAGGGAAGAAAAGAAAAAAGACTAGGAAAAGAAAGGAAAGAGGAGAGAAAAAAGAAAGAGAAAAAAGAAAAAGAGGAAGGAGAGCACAAAAAGGAAAAGAATGAAAAGAAATAAAAGGAAAAAATAAAAAGGAAATAAGAAGAGAAAAAAGAAACAAAAGAAACGGGGGGTGAAAGAGAGGAGGGAGAGGGGAGTAAGAGCCTGAGAGAAGAGGGATGGGAGTAAGGGAGAAAGAGGGGGATGTTGGGTGGAGTCACCACGTCGAGGGGGCAAGAAGATATGCATAGATGCTGTGTCGGGTCCGCTGTGTCGGTATTCTAACTTGCTCGATCCTCGTGTACTGTTATCAAGGTAGAAGTCCGAGGTCGGTGAGATGTTGTTGTTGTTGTTGTTGTTGTTGTTGTTGTTGTTGTTGTTGTTGTTGGGTTTATCGGCGCTATCCATCGATTCCGATGATTTCCGCCAGGCTGTGTGTGAGGGCGTCTTGCTCTCACTTCTGCTGCTCTACGTTTCTGTGATTCTGATACTTGCCCAGTGTGTGAGATAAAGATTTATCTTGGCCTTTGTTTTTGGCGAAGTGCAAGATTATACGTTACTCATTATTTTTTAGTCATTAATGTTAGAGCTGGTTGGAATTAATATCATGAAGTTTCGGTGTCATAGAGTTAATGATAAATAATGTGTCTTATGTTTAATAGTATGCGCATTTAATAATCGGCTGCCATTTATTTAGGCTTTCGTATGTCCATCATTTCATCCGTTACTCTGTTTATGGAGAAAAAAACAACATGAAAAGCACAAGAATGATAACAACACAATGCTATAATTCTCTATACAGTGCGTCCCAGAAAAAACGAAACCGATAATTATCGATGTTTTATCATAACTTAGTGACATTTATAATTCATAAATGACACATTATTTGGAAAGCTTAGATCCTCCTCTTTCATTTGATGCAACTCATTATGATGCATATTTCACGCATGAGTGATTAAAATCAATTTGAAGAGAGGAAACCAAAAAGTCGTTTGGCGGGCGGTATCTGAATTTCAAAGAGAAAATCACATTTCTAGAAAGTTGAGTCTCTGCCCTTTCATAATGACACCTCAATCAGGAAAAATGAGCAAGGAATGACAAAGTTCTGTTTGTTTAAAGTAGCCCTTACATAATTTTAGCAAACAAATTCGTTTTCACTTGCTATCTGCCGTAGCAAAAAGCAGAATTGACAAAAAACCTAACTCCGTTTCTTTGACAATCAGCCATGCATGAAGTCTTTCGTCTACGGCTGATTGTCAACGAAACGGAGCTAAGTCTTTTGTTAATTTCGTTTGTTGATACGGTAGGCAGCCAGTGAAAACGAATTCGTTTAATAAAATTATGAAAATGCAAGCACTACTTTAATCAAACAGAACTTTGTTATTCCTAGCTCATTTTTCCTGAATGAGGTGTCATAATGGGCAAAAACTTAACTTTCTAGAAATGTGATTTTCTCTTTGAAATTCAAATACCACCCGCCAAACGACTTTTCGGTTTCCTCTCTTCAAATTGATTTTAATCACTCATGCGTGAAATATGCATCATAATGAGTTGCATCAAATTAAAGAAGAGGATCTAAGCTTTCCAAATATGTGTCATTTATCAATTATAATTGTGATTAAGTTATGATAAAACATCGATAATAAATTATTCTCGGTTTCGTTTTATCTGGGACGCACTGTATCTTCCCGTACCTTTTATAAAAGCTAAAATGATTGAGCAGTTTTCTGCTTTTCCAAGTAGATTTTTTAGGTTAGGATTCGTCACAAGTCATGAAGTCTGCGATACATACGATTCCTCTGTCTTTCATATTTAGGGCATGATTAAACATAAAATGTGACAATTGTCGCAAAGACCCGTATCATGCCTATTAATTGAGTAATTTTAGTAATTAAGTCTACACTTACCAAGACGGAATTGGTGTAAAATTCTTTCATCCTTACGACAAAAACCTTTAATCATATCTATCACGTATATTTTACATCAGGTCGTTCGGCTGGCAATTTTTTCCCTATGAACTGTATACTTTTATCGGACAAAGAAACTTTTTTGAAAATGCAGACAATGATTAAGAGTCGGTACAACGCAGGAGCGGATCCAGGATTTCTTAGGGGGGAGGCCCAAATTTGAAATAGATTTGAAATTTAGTGTGCTGAAATTTGAAAATCGTGCCGGTCGAAATTTCGCTCGACACCCCCCCCCCCCCCCTCCCCTTGAGCAGAAAAAAAAACGGTAAATTTCTGATCACAATTTTTTTCTCGCCACGAGGGAGGGCTCTTTTTTCGCCAGGGGGGGGGGGGGCAAGGCCCAATCGCCCCCCCCCCCTGGTTCCGCGCCTGGAACGAATCGTCTTCTTTCTCCAATAATTTAATGAAACGTCAAAGGGGAAAAGTGAATTCAGACAAGGATTGAGAGTAGAGAACGGCCTCTTCGTTCTCTCTGATAATTTGTAATGAAACGTCAAAACTGGTCTATAGGCCTACCATTAACACGCCACTGGACTATCATCAGACAGTGATGGACGGTGCTGAAAATGGAGGGGGTGTCGTCAGCGAGCTTGGATATATGTTTCTTTATATCTCATAATTGATCAGTAACCTAGTAGTCACTGGCGTATTGATGGGGAAGCGGGGCTTGGGGGCAGTTGCCTCCCCAACAATAAAAATCAACCGTAGTTTATTTCTAATTCGATACAAGTGATTTACAAATGTTGCTGAAATGACATGACTTTCCGGGGTTTATTTGTTTAACTTTTTGTTGTAATTTTTTTTCTTTCCTTGCCTTCCCAATGTTTTTTCTCATTACGCCACAAAATGTGATTTAGGCAGGGGTGGTGCTGGAGACTTCAAAAGTGTGGGGGGGGGGGGGGGCGCGTCAACAACAAAAAAATCACTTCCTGGAGACAAAAAGAGCACCTACAAAAGGAAATCTCAAGGCGAAAATATACAATATTTTAGATACCTACATTGCGATTTAATTATTTGGGATGCTTTCAATATATTATGTTTTTCTTTGTACATCATACAAGATAATAATTTGCTTAAGCATCACATTTTGCAGTCGGTGTAATGGGCTTTATTTACATTTGCGAGCGAGATGTGTGAGGTTGCAGTACGAAAAATTACATCTTATAAAGATGAAAAGCCCAATCCTGATGGGGGTTATAAGCACATTCTCATGACGGAAGACAGAATTGACCTTTGATAAGTATATACAAAAAATGCGAGTACTAATGTACCGAGCGAGTTTTGGGAAAAATTGCTCTTAGTCGCTTTAAATTAAGGGTACGTTTATTGATAAGAGGAAAAGGGGACACTTATCGAAAGGAATAAGACTGTTATAAAAAGAAAGAAGTGTGACGGACACGATTTCGTCCCCTTGGCTTGACACGGAATATTTGTCAGGATGCCCCGTATCTGGCCAGGCGCTCTCCGTCCGTTTGGACAAAATATATGCCCGTAGCTTAATGGCTGGAGTCATTAACTGCTCACACGTATCTCAACAATCATTCGTCCATCGACTACAATCGGTCACCTAAACGTCTCGTTCACAGCATCAATCAATTGAGCATCCTTCGAACAATCAATTTCCCTTGTCAACACTTGTCACAGGTTCTCGTCCCTTAGTTTCACTGCTCCAAGAAATCAAACCAATCATGATGTGTAGGTTGAAAGTCTTTATTGCGATCCATTCAACAATCGGGTAAACTCAGTACAAGTACAGTGCAAACTATGTGAGACTTAGCTTAGAGGCTTAGGCCAGGCCAACTATCAGGCCAATTATCAGGCCAACTATCAGGCCAGCCTCGGTGAGGCTGGCCTGTATCGGATACAGTGCAGTGGAAAGCCCTAGATGCACAACCCTGACCATCGTAACAATTTCCCTATACATAAACGTGTAAAAGAACAATTATGTCCTCGTTGGTAAAACAACACTTCAACACAATATTTCTGCTAATCCCATAAAATCTTCACATATAATCTTCAGTATAACCCCTTATTCCTGATTAGATCACTACTATACAAGTAATATCCCCAAAAGAAACATGATAATTGCACCAACATGATCAAAATATGTAATTTATGCTCATTTTCCTTCAGTTTGGTAATTGCTAAATCAACGATGCTCCATATTGCTATAGCGCATGCTCGTACAACAGAAAATGCTTAACCTTCATCCAATACTAAAACCCTGATTTGTTACAGAAGCAATAGATGAGTACAAAGGGTAATCATTGGAGGTGAAAATGGGGCATTTCTTATACATGAGAAGAGGCACTCACCAGGGATGAAACAAGGCACTAATGGGTATGGACATTGACGATCGAAATGGGGCACCCAGTGGATGTTGATAGGGGCATTTATAAGAGGTGAAAAGGGGCACTTATCGCACTTCAAAAGGGGTGTAGCGGCTCTTACATTCGCCCTACTTTCACCGTATATTCATGTCTCCTGTATTTTTCCATCACGGTACTTATTTATATTCATTATTCGGACCACGTGTGTTTTTCCTTCCAATCGAGCACCGTAGTTCCGCGCATTCCTTCACCCGCGTATTTTCATCACCACGAGGTTTTCTTCACTCCCGCTTACACCTCGGTCGAGTCAACAACTCCTGCTTACATCTCAGTTGAGTCAACACGTTTCTGCATGATTTCTTCTCCGGGCTTGTTTCTACTGTGCCTATCACTTCTATCGGCACATCTTCACTTTCTCTGCCGTGTTCATCGGGCTGCAGTCTTCCAGTGGAACAGTTAAATCTAGTTCCGACATACATGGTGCTTGGTTATCCGCTGGGAGCTGCCAGTTTCTTTACCGGTAGTCTTTCACTCACATGAGCTCGACTCACCGCAGCTCATCTAAACATTCACCATCAAAGTTCGGCTCATCAATCGAGCGACTCACTGCTCAGCACCACTACCGGCTTTGATGTCTGCATTTTCTTCTTTGGCCTCCGACATCAAGCGACTCACTGCTTTCGTCATCGAGCGCCACACATCTCTTCTTTTCTCTTCTATTCTCGCCCGAGAGCTCCATCTACATTCATCATCATCACGAGCGTCGGCGACGACATAGCGTTCTTCACGGTTCTTCAACCACGTCAACGAAGTCGCGTTTCCGCCATCAAGCCTCCGCACATTTCATCGCGTGAGCCCCTTCCTTCGTTCTCAACTCTCTTCATCTTCATTGGACTTTCGGCTTCATTTCTACTATTGTCGTAAGCTCTATTTATGTACATCGCATTTATTCATGTTCATTATCATCATTGATCATTATGTAACTCCGTGCAATATTCACATTTCTCATTTATGCATACTCATTCCGATTCTTCGGCTTGTGCTTGGCTACACTTTGCAAGTGTACGGCCAGCCTCATCAGTACCCAATAAACTAACGAAAAGGGAATACTTTCTTTCATGTATTTTATTGTCAGTGCAACCTTGTTTCCTCGTAGCTAAATAAAAATAAGAGTTATGTTGCGTGACGAGTGAACACGCTTTCAAATATCCATTCACAATACCTCACACTCATATCTCTACAGGGGCACTGACCAGATATGGAAAGGGGTACTTATGATTTATGAGGATGAAAAGGGACACTTTTCATAGCTGGTGAAAAGGGGCATTTATGAAAAGGGAAGGAGCTCTTTTTTTAATGGATTATCATAAGGACTTATTAGAAAGGAAAAGGGCTCATGTCAAAATAAAAGGTGCACTTATCGAACTTAAAAAGGGGTAGTAATTAAAAGGGGAAGGGGCACATCTTACACAGAAAAATGGGCACTTGTCAAAGTAAAAGGGGCACTTAAAGGGACACTTAGGCTACTGAGATTAAACTAAGGGCACTTATGAGAATCGAAAATGGAAACCTTGTCGAAGGAAAAGGGGAACGTCATAGGTGAAAAGTAATAGGGCACTTTTCAAAGAAAGTAAAATGGGCACTTTTTCTATATGTAAAGAGGGGCAGTTCTTATACGAAATCAAGCTATATTATGATAAAGATTGGGCTTCAGACCGAATGAAGCAATAAAAAGACTCGATTCTCTCAGACCAGCTCAATTCCTTTCCGCTTGGACTGGTTGCGACCGGTGCTTGCGACTATAAGTACACGTAGCTTAGCTTAATAATAGCGTCGATTTTTTTTTTCCCCCCTCCTTTTTGTTTTGCTTCCGTTTAGAATTATTTAAAATTATTAAAAAACTTGAATTCGGCGTAAATATTCATCATTGAATGACACACGCCGTTAAAACTAAAACAACAACAACAACAAACAGCTTGCCTTTTTAAATGAGGAATTAAAAATCTTCATCAGACTAGCAGTTTGCCACTTGCCATCGATCCGGTATCATATTCGATTCGTGTCCGAAAACCCGAACCGGAATCACGTTCAAGATGGCCACTTCCACGGCAGATGAAGAGTTCGAATCGATGGAACCTTCTCTTCGAAATATAATTGACCAGAAATCACTGAAGTGGGTCTTTGTCGGAGGCAAAGGTGGTGTTGGTAAAACGACATGCAGGTGATTTTATTTTTTAATCAAATTCGTTGACTTTGAAGTTTGAATTTACGTATTTTTCGTTACGACTAATGACAATGTTTTGATATTCATTTGTCAACACAGCCAGCCTGCGCCTGTCGGCCGCCGGAGCAGGTGTGCGAAGCGAAGTCAGGGCCCACGCTCTTCGCGGCGGAGGAGGGTTCGTGTATGGGTGCCCGCAGCCATGAATGACCTAGCGCGTAGCGCGCTAGCCTTATAATCGGGCTCGGTGATTTATGACATGACATATCTCTTCTTCTCTCGACCCCCGGCTTTATCATGGATTCTTAAACCACTTAGTCTATTCGTGCACATGCACAAGCTTGTCTTTAGAGAGTATGCCGATGCTGAATGCATGTGAGTGTATAGTGTGACAGAATCATAATTCATATGAACTGGGCGCTAAGCCTGCTAAGTATTACTATTAGGCTAGTGTCTCATTGACCCTTGACATTTGGGCGCTTGTTCAGAAGCCTATCCAAAATTTGACCCTTAACTCCGGCGTGGAGATACCCTACTAAACAATACCCAAAATGAAGTAAATATTCAGTAAATGTGTAAATATTCAAATGTCCAAATAAAGTTTATGAGTTAAAAGTCGTTATGTTTATTACCTGTTTCGTGTCAGTTTTCTTGATTTTTGGAGTATTTTTCAGATAAACTTTGATATTTGTATACACTTTTTCACAGATTGCGCAGGCGCGCGCTGTGTGAAGTTATCTATCGTAATGAGGATCTGAGACATTACAGCAACACCCCCAAAAACAACCGGAAAAAACCCAGAAAAACACCCGAAAATTGTGGAAAATTTGTCTTTTTTCAAGAAAATGATCCCTAAAAATGGGTAGGGGTTTTGACATTTGAGGCTTGGGCGGCACACCCTCGTCCAAACCAAATCTTAGTATCCTCCCTGAGCCCTTCCCTTTAAATCCAATAATTAACCACATCATAATTTTTTTCTTCTCCAGTTGTAGCCTGGCCGTCCAGCTATCCAAACACAGGGAGTCGGTCCTGATCATCTCCACTGACCCCGCCCACAACATCTCCGATGCCTTTGATCAGAAGTTCTCCAAAGTCCCTACCAAGGTCACAGGTTTCCAGAATCTCTATGCAATGGAGATCGACCCTAACCTCGGTATAGGTGATCTTCCAGACGATTACTTTGAAGAAGACAGTAAGTCTCAAAATTTTATCCTTTTTTCTCCAAAATATGATAATAAAGGTGAGATTCAATGCTTTTTGGCTTCGATTATGTGCTCAGTTCTGTTTCTATTTCTTGCCAATTTGTTTACTCTGGTAATCAAACAAAGTGGGCTTGCAGGAAATTGTTAAAAGACATAAAACCAGCCCCCTCCCCCTTCCCTAAGAATAAAGATTAGAAAAAAATATATAAGATATTGAAGTGTTTATGGATAAAAAGCATACGGGTGAGACTTCCTATACAGAAGACGCTGTAAGTTCACCGGATTGTTTTCGATGCGTAAAGATATTTAAGTGACCCCTTAAAAACAATGAAAGACAAGAGCAGGGACCTGTTTCACAAAGCCTTTTTACAATGACAATTGACAAAAATCAGTGACAAATCTGCTGATAACCAATCAGAAACAAGGATTTCAGTAGCTTATAACAAAAAATGTCATTTGTCACTGATGACAAGGTTTGTGAAACACCTCCCTGCATTTCTCTTTCATCTCCTCAAACAATCACTTTGCACTTCTGGGGGGGGGGGGGGGTGTTTCACAAAGATCCTAAGTTGGACTTAACAGTTATGGAAGGCCATTAGCATCCTTGAAAACATTTTGTAAAAATTATTTTAAAAAGCATAAAATGTTGGTTCAAATCATTCATATTGTCTATTATAATGAGAGATTTCATGTTCTTGATGTGGACTTTTTGAAAAGTCTAAAATACTTGGATTTTTGCTTTTGAATATATTTCAAAATAAGGCTACAGATGGCTCTCCATAATATTTAAGTCCAACTTAGAGTTAAGTTCGACTTTGAATCTTGGTGAAACACCCCCAGGTCAGATAAAAGCACCATTCAAGCCTTTCATTCTCACTAGCCACTCTCCAGGTTGGGGTTGAGTTTTGTCTTTGTAAATATTAATTACTTCATTTCTTGTGTCTGTTGCAGATCCCTTATCTGTAGGTAAGCATGTCATGCAGGAATTACTGGGTGCCTTTCCTGGTATCGACGAAGCCGTCAGCTTTGCTGAAGTCATGAAGTAAGCTCTCGTGTCCAATTTTTTAGCTTTCCTTACAAATATACATGTAGTTAACAACTAAATTATTCATACCCTATAGTTATCAGGCCTGATAATTATCCGATTTAAATCGGTTTCCCGATTTTTAAAATATTTTTTCCTGATTTCTTCCTGATTTCTTTTTCTTCTTGATTTCTTTTTCTTCTTTTTTTCCAATTTTTTTTTTCTTCCTGATTTTATCCCAATTTTCCTGATTTTTCCCTTATTTTCTTTATTCTTCGCTATTTTTCCCCAATTTATTTACTCAAAAAAGGGGAATGTTGTTCGATGCCATTTTTTCCCCGCGAATTCTCTTCTTTTCTGTTTTTTACCCAAGGGGGGCGTGGTAGAGGGGGAAAAAAAACCTACTGTTACTTTTTTTTTAGTGCTCACTATCACCCCTGAGTTGTACCAAGATTGTAGTTTTTCAAGTATGTGGAAAAAATTGATTTGTCCCGATTTATATTTCTTGAGAATGTGACATACTAAAGCTTACATCTAAAAGTATTCAACAAAATCCTCAATTCAACCAGTCCACCTTTATTTCATGAATTATTTCATGACATTAGCTCGCTGCAATTAATTTAAAGGAGAAAAACTTCATATAACAAGAGAAACCTATGTATACCCATCTTTGACTACAAACAATAATTCCTTGATGTACTCTTTCTAATTCATCTTGAAGCGCATGAAATTCTGTGGGTTGATGATTATTTAGACGATTACCAACTATTTGTCATCCTTAATTCTTAACAATTGTGTATTACTTTTTATTCCTCTTCTTTAGTAGTAGTAGTGGTGGTTATTTTACCCGACTGCTAAGAAATCATAAATGCTTGTTAGTAAGCAACCAGAGGACTGAAGACTTTAGATCCTCTCTGAATGTTAGTAAATGACAATAAATGGTAATAGTAGTTCAGAATCAATCATATCGCTTAACATCTATGCTGTAGCCAGCTAATCATTTATTACTCTTTGTTGTTCAGATTGGTGAAAAACATGAACTTCTCAATCGTAGTGTTTGACACGGCACCGACCGGTCACACACTCAGGCTCCTATCCTTCCCATCATTGGCCGAGAAAGGACTTACCAAACTTCTCAAACTCAAAGCACAGTTCAACCCTTTCATTCAACAGGTGGGTTTCTAGATAACTGAAGAATTAATCCAATTGCTTTATGTTGCTATGGTAGCTTGAGGAATCATTGGTTAATGTTGGGTCGTGGAGGTGTCTGTCGAGTGGATATGTTACCGGACTGTGGATCACAAGGTCCGCGGTTCAAGTCCCGCCGCGGCACTAATTTGCTTAGATAAGCAAGTGTGCACTTGTAAATATGACGCCTGGCTGGAATGCTCCTCAGGGAGTGGAGAATGCGCTTACATTTTGTGCAGGTAAACCTGAATTTGATGACCGGTGTAGTAATATATATCTGTAAAGCACTTTGAGAGCACCTGCGGTCCTGAAAAGCGCTTAATAAGAACAAGCTATTATTATTATTATTATTAATGAACGGGCAGAGGCGTGATAGCTCAGTGCTGGTAGAGCAGTGCTTTCATAACTGGGAGCTCACAGGTTTGAGACCAAGTAGATGATACATTCACGATGCCCTTTCAAATCTCAAATTATTGTTATTATTATTATTACCCTTATTAATACATGTATTATAATTCATAATCGAGTCCCTTGGTTTGCTCACCTAGTTCGCTCATCTAGCATTAGTCAACTAGCCTACACTTGCTTATTGCCCATCAAATTTTTTACAAGCTGTTTCCCTAAATACATACATAATGTATTGCATGAAAAAGATTAGACATGCAGTATAAAAGCACATACATTTGGATAAGCTGTGTAAAGAGATCTTGATTCGAGAAGGGTTGGTTTAGGCTAGAGCATGTTTTAATTTTGGTTCCCTAAATGCTTGAAGTAATAACAGTGGCCTATGAGCATTATTTTTAAGTGTTATTCATAAAAAATAGTTATCATTCCTTTTAAAGCGTGCTACAGCATTACTGATTTTCCTAACTGGGTGTGATTCACGAATGCAAAAGCTGACTTTTGAAACAAGCATGTTAAGCCCCACTGCACTACTTGCAGCTACTTGCGCCCTATATATAACAAACAATGCCTGATCGGTGACCATTGGTCCCCCAGGATTCTCTTTTTCTTATGTTAAGTGAGAGCTGATTTGATGAGATACATGTAACCACCTGTTGGTGACCTTGCAGGGTGGTCTAATCCCTCCTGTAAACTAGTACAGATGGGCTTTAATGATGATTATTAATTGAATTCTCTTATTTTAATTATTATAGATTGGTGGTATGTTAGGGATGGCAGACTTCAGTGCAAACGACATGTTATCTAAACTAGAGGAGACTGTGCCTGTTATAAGGAGTGTCAACGAGGCTTTCAAAAATGCTGTAAGTATACTCTCTATATGATGGCCTGTTGAAACAGCGTTTTGTATTTTCAATTACAGTTGGTATCATGTACCGGTAAGCAAGATTGTACAAAAAATTATACCGGTAATTACCTAGTTATGATGTGGAATATCGTGTTACAGTCCACCAATGGTTCAGAAGCTGTCATAAGCCCATGAAATGTTACAGTGTTGGTTTGTACTGCAAGGTTCTGGGGTCATCAAAATCAAAATAAATTTGGCCCAGTCTTGGTAAAGTAACAAGCACTGTACACAGAAAGATGAATATGGGACTACACAAATGGTGTCTGGCCCACTTACCTTGATTTCCTAATTTTTCTATGCTATTACTCAGCCAGTATACATTTTCTACCAAAATTGTTTGGCAAATGACATTTATTTGTAATCTTGAACATTTAGTGTAAGTTTTGTTTGATTCTGTGAGAATTTATATTCTTTTTTTTTTACCAGAACTCAAGTTTATCTTTAATTACGGCGCCTGTATACCTTTGGCTTCATTTGATTGTATTTGTATTGATATTTATAATTTCCTGTTTTTTTTCAACAAACTCCATTCTCATGCCTGATTATGGCATGACAAGGCGTTTCTTTGCCATCTCTTCCCACTTGTGAATCAAACTACATTTGTGTGCGTATGTACAGCAGAGTTCTTGTCCCTGTACGAGACAGAGAGATTAGTCCAGGAGCTAGCCAAGTTTGAAATTGATAGTCATAATATTATCATAGTGTGCTGTAGCCGACATTCTAAACTCAATAAACTTGGTATAAAACATTGTAGGATGGATGGTTAAAAAGAAGATAGTTATCGCTGTATATATGGAGGGGGGTGACCCCCATTCTGTAAGGTTAAATATATTATGGAACATGTTATGACAAGATGTTTCCTTCCCCACTTGTAGGATCAAACTACATTCGTGTGCGTATGTATAGCAGAGTTCTTGTCTCTGTACGAGACAGAGAGATTAGTCCAGGAGCTAGCCAAGTTTGGAATCGACAGTCATAATATCATCGTCAATCAGCTCCTGTTCCCAGACGATGTCCGGAGCGCATCCCAATGCAAGATGTGTCAGTCAAGATACAAGCTGCAGCATAAATATCTAGAACAGGTAATTGTTCATCTCTAATCTGCACACATATTGATTTGGTGAAGCTGCTCCTAGTCTTGACAATAGTCCCGAGCCACTAGTGGCAATCTCTACATCATCCTTTTGTTGCAGGGAGGGGAGAGGGGATCTTTGTCCCTCCTTTGAACATAAATAAGGATGACACAAAATCACTGCCACTGCCGGGGGATACATTTGCATTGCGCGGCAATACAGATTGCGATATTTCTAGTTTTTTTTAGAAGGGGGCATTTCCAAAACTGGTCTATACATTTAAAACAACGTAACCGGATAAATTGTGAGTACATTAAAGCCCTGGGGGTGTTTCACAAAGATCCTAATTAAATTGAACTTCTCTCTATAAGTATGGAAAGCCGTTAGCATCTTTGAAATATTTTTGTAAAAGTTATTTTGAAAGGCATAAAATGTTGATTCAAATCATTCATATTTTCTATTATCAAGGAAATTTAATGTTCTTGATGTGGAATTGATGAAAAGTCTAATAAACTTGAATTTTTAATTCTCAATATATATTTTTTAAGTCTACAAATGGCTTTCCATAATATTTAAGTCCAACTTAGAGTTAAGTTCAGCTTAAGATCTTTGTGAAACACCCCCCTGTACATGTATATACCATGGCAATGTGGGAGGGGAAGTTGCTGATGTTCTAATGTTTTCAACATTTTTTGTAATCCTTTTAAGTAATATTTTCAATTTTCAATATCAATTTTGCTGGTTGAGTTAACCCATTGCCTGCCTCCCCACTTCCTCATCTATCTATTTCTTAATGTTTTCAATAACTTTTTTTAGTCCTTGTACCGGTAAATAATATTTTCCAACAAACCATTACAAATCAATTATAAACATTTACAACAAATGTAGAAATACCTATTGGAAACAGAGGGGTCCACTAAAAAAACAATGCTTGTATAAGTGTGAACACCTCAAATGATACTTAGGAATAATGAGTAATTAAATTAACTACAAAAGGAACTGCAAAATAGGGGAGAGAAGGGGGGGGGGGGATATAACCCAGGCACCTTTTGTTATGTTCCAATTGTCAGAGATTTTGGCATATACCAATGCTCCCCCCCCCCTCACTCCTGATGGTCAAAGAATCCTGGATCAGACACTGCTATAGTTTAGGGTTAGAACAAAAAAAATATGTGCAACTTGATACAGACATTGAGAAAGCCCACATTTATAAATATTTAATGAAATATTACTCTCCGAAGAAGAGAAAACTCCAGCACTGTCACTCAATACTGTCTGACAGTGAAGTCTAGATAGTAAACAGGTTTCCTGGTGCAATTTGAATACTGGGACACTGCTGATGTTTTAATTTTACAGATAGGACATACGTGACATATTCAGAATTCCTGCATAGTTCTACAGAATTTGATGTTGGCTGCAAAAGGGATACTACCTGTAAGCACTCTCTCTAGAAGTCTAGAAGGCTAACATTCTTTAATTGTTCATCAATAGCCGACAAGGATCAGGACCAGAAACACAACAGAGGTAGCTTTAGACTATTATTAAAACATTCCTCCTGTCATTTCATCCCCAGATTGAGGACCTTTATGAAGACTTTCACATCACTAAGCTGCCATTGTTTGAGCACGAGGTGCGAGGGCAAGATAGAGTCCTTGAGTTTTCGTCAAATCTCGTCGTTCCAAGGCCTGCTTCCATGTTCACCAAGAGCGCCTCTACCACCTAGCAAGGTCACATGCTATTTGTCATTGTTTGTCTCTAATTGTCATGTTTAACACAACGTAACCAGATAAATCGTGTGTACATTAACGCCCTGGGGGGTGCTTCACAAAGATCCTAAGTTGAACTTAAAAGTCCACTCCAAAAATAACTTAGTTACAATTACAAAATCAACTTTTTTTTATTGGTTTGTCTGATTTTTCTGCTTCTATTGAAAGTAAGTTATTTTTGGAGTGGACTTGCCATTTTTGTGCTTACAGGGCCTGTTCCATAAAAAATTGACTTGCAATTAATCATAAAATTCTATTTCTCCCTCATTTCTGCCACAGTTGATTGTATCTCTCTATGAATTTCATCTTTCTGAAACATAAAATTGAATGTAAGTTATTATTGATTGTAAAGATTTGATTTATTGAAAGATATCTACGATTCATTATTGGGGAGAAACGACTCAATCATTATAACCCCCTATTCTTTATGTTAGGGGCACGGCCTCATGATGATGATGCCAGAGTAGGCTTATGAGTGCATTAGGGATATTTCCAGCACTGTCAAATGCTTATGAATACAATATTAGTTTGATTCAGTTTTTAATTTGTAATGGAAATGAATATGTCTTTACAACTACAAAAAATCTACATTGCATTAATAAGGTATTAAAAGCCTAATGTAATACAGGCTTTGGTTTCTTGGCCAATGCCAGGCATTACACAAATATATATTTTATAATCGGCTCATCTTATCCAGGTGTTGTACATACATGTATATGCAATGAAGCTGCTTGTAATGTTTTCATAATGAAAGCATTACATGCAGGTTATTTAATGATAAACCCCACTCTTAATGTTAGTGCCTATTGAGTCACTTGACAGTCATTGAATTGAATACTTGAATACAAAGTGATATACACTGACTGAAAGTGTTCTGAGTACATGTCAAGGGGTCAGTGACACAAAGACGTAAATCTCTTTGGCCATTTTGAGAAAAAGTGGTTTAAAGATAGAGGTCCACTTGGGCCTTAAGGAGTCAAGTCTATGTTTCACTAGCCATTGACTTCAATGGGGTGTTGGGTGGAGTTCAGTCTTTGTGTTTCCCAGAAAGCCCACATTTGTCTGAACATTTTTATATCAAATACTCATTTTGGCAAAATATGGAGTTATTGTACGTCTTTGTGTCACTGAACCCTTGATGCACATGTATGTCTCCTAACCAACATGAAAGAATTACCCATATTTATATCAGGTTTTCTATCTGTATTCCTATTCTCTTCGGTATAGGAGACCATTAAATAAGGCTTCAATATTTAGTTACAAGGCAGTGGTTTTTAATATGTAGCATGGGGTCATAACCCTCTTTGTGTCTTCTTTTATGCTTACATGGAAGAGCCATACATCATCATGAAACAAATTGAATTTCGATGAACAATTTGTAGTTGCATTACTCCATTTTAAGGTTCCCACTCACTGGGCATGAGGACAAATTATGTTTTCATGCTTTGTGGCCATTTTTAAAATTCTTTGCTTAAAAAATAATGGTATCCTGACTACGAAAGTCTGATTTGGTTTGTGGGTTGTTACCATATGTTTGCAGATATTTGATTCTTCCATGGGTGAAAGCCAATTATATTTTAAAGGCCATCTGTACTAGTTTGGCTAGGAGGGATTAGACCACCCAGGAAGGTCACTGACAGGTGGCTATCTCATCAACTCAGCTCTCAATTAACATAAGAAAAAGAGGATCATGGGGGACCAATGGTCACCGATTAGGCATTGTTTTCTTTATAGAGGGAACAAGTAGCTACAAGTAGTACAGTGGGCCTTTAAAGGCAGAGTATTTTTCGGCCATTGCTACCACTCACTGCTGTAATGCATTATCAATTTGGCCATCTTTCGGTGAAGGCATCCATACGTGTAGAGCAACTCCTGTACTGAAGCATCATCATGCACCCGTCATGCAGTTGGTGATGCATTGTGGGATGGGACATTGAGTAATTTCAAGTTAGGTGTTAGTGTTAAGAGCAGTCAAGAGCTCTTCGAACGAGGTAAAATTTTGCTGATGAAATAAGAGCCCGATACCGATATAAATATCGATAGCTTAACACCATTGTGACATCGCCACACAGACTTGATTTTACCACGATGATTTAAAAATAGTACATCAAAACTAAAGATATCATGAAAAGCACAGAATAAATTTATACTTATTTTTCACAAAAGAATACATGAATCACACAGTAAAGGACCTGTTTCACATATTTTTATTTGATCGTCAGACAATAAATTAGCATCTTTCCCGTGTTGACTGCTGTGCGGGTGCAACGCTATCACCGAACTGGAAATCAACATTTGCTTAATCCCTAGGCCCTAGGGGCTGTTGTTAGTGGATAGGACATTTGTACATAAAATATTAACACCAGCCACAAAGGTCGGTTCAGCAGACAACAATTTTGCAAAATCGATAACACTAGCTACCGGAAGTTGACGATATTCAGAGGTCAAAGCCTTAACATCAGCCAATTTCCATTTCGGTGTTTAGGGCTGGTGTTAGTGTTTATTAAACATCAACACCAGCCCTAAACACCCAACTCGAAATCACTCATTGTGTGCAGTAGGTGGTAGTATACTGCCTTAAATTGAATACCTGAATCAAAGTGCTGTGTATAATAAACTCAAATATTGTATAATACAGTCAAACCTGCTTTAGTGACCACCTGTCTACAACAACCACATCTGTGTTTCCCTTGAAAATGGTTCCTCATTGAAACATGTACTAAAGGAACCTGTCTACAAAGACCACTTTTTGTGTTCTCCCTTTGGGCGGTCGCTATAAACCAGGGAAAAAATTAATATTTATTTTTCAGGGGCTACTTTTCAAGCTTGCCTGCATGAAAATACCATTCTAAAATTTGTTTTGCATTGAACTGTATGCAAATTTACAGGGGCGCTTTTCTGATTTTCGGGGGCTCTTTTAGGCATTTTGGGGGCTAATTCGCCCCGAGCCCCCGTGTATTTTTTTCACTGCTATAAACAGGTTTGACTGTAAAAGAATTGTCACCTGAAATCTGAGGTGTAGTCACTGGAGAAAGCGTAGTACATGTAGTTCTTTAATCTATTATTGCATGTTGTTTGTAGCACTGCACACGCATGGTGTGTGTTCTTGGCACATGTGCTGTGTGTTACATTCAGGTTATTTGACTGGAAGAATATCTTAAAGGCTAAAAGGCTAATTAAGAGTGTTCACGATAACGATGTTACATTTCTTTTACAGTTTATATGATCATGTTTAATAGATTCCACAAATGAATTATGAATTATGACAGTGCTTTGGGATGGTTGAAACACTCAATAAATTGGTCCGATGTATTCCAAACTTTCGCCATTTTGTTTATCTTATTTTTCTGCGTTCATGCAAATGAATTTATTTCAAGGGTTGGATTGCCCTTTAAAACCATTATCGTTATGTCTGTTCCTAGCCAGAAAGACATACACATTTAAAGAGCTTGGCTCCAAACAGACTAAAGGAACATGTATATATGAGCTACCGGTATGGAATAACAGAGTGACAGACAAAGTGACAGACATGTGCTGCATACAGGTTTAAATTAGATTTGCTATTTTTACATTTTGCTTGCATTTTATGATCATACCATGTGCTGTAAGGAAAACATTAGAAAAAGAAAAAAATGTTTACCTGTATTCAGCTCATTTAAAATCATATGCTTTTTATTGATTTTTAAGAAACCTGTATAAAATGCTGTATTTATAGGTGACTTCAGAAATGATGTGCATGTTTCTTATATAATCAGTTATTGTGATGATATCCAAATTTGTTTTTAATGAGATGCCACATGGCGTGTTGTTATTTATTTGTTTTTAGAGTTGGGAATCTAAAATTGTTTGTTTATCGTTTGTATATTCATGTGTATGTGTAGAGTATGTAAACTGTACATACCCTTGTCTAAGGGTGCAGTGTAAACCGTTATTCAGGGTCTCATATACATGTACATAGAATCTACATGTATGACAATAATACTCACATTTGTATAGTGCTTAATAATATTACTACGTTTCTAAGTGCTTTACATTATAATTATCATTCCCCCAGTTATTGGATTCAATAGAAATAGAATGTTTATTTGCCTAAGAAATTAATTATATTTTTGGTTGTTGTTGTTTTTATCTTGTCTTGTTTTTATTTATTTTTCCTTTTTGTAAGAAGACAATATTTAGGCCTGTCTTTATCAACTCGAGATTGCCAAATAGCTCGCTATTTCTGATTTGGGAAATAATCCCGAAGTTACAAATCGCGGCTTCATCAGCTCGAGACTTGACCTCGAGACTTGACCTCGAAACTTGAAACTCAAGCTTGAGAAGTTAGCTCGAGATATTTTGCTCAGCGTTCGGGCGTAGTGCGAGTCTTTGGGCTGGTGAGGACGTACCGGACAAATGGCGGTATCATTTGCAAACTAGCCCAAGATATCTTGGGATGATTATCTCGACCAAATATCCCGCTAATTGCAACTTCGGGCTGATGAGGATGCAAGTGGATAATTTGCAAGCGGGATAGTTCAAATAGCGGGATATTTTGCAATCTCGAGCTGATGAAGACAGGCCTATTGAGGTATTGATTCCAATTTAAACACTGAGCACTCTCTCCTCAGCTTGAGTGTTACATGTTTGTGGGAACTGACACTGTACCACACTGCTTGGATTATAACATGCACTTCAAAAGGTAGCTCTACCCTTTTTTTAAAACATTTCTGGATTCACCTCTGAACCTTCAAAGTCAATGAAGACATTAATCAGACTTCAAGAACAATCAGTACCCGTAATGACAAGTATTTTCTTATATTCATTGCTTTTATTGTAAGCACCATGAGCATCTTTTGACTTGTAGGTTCATGAATTCCTGTTTCACTGCAATTATTATAACCTGGGATTTCGAAGAGGCATTGTTAAACACTGACTAAATGGAAAATTATAATTAATTTGAATTTTTTAGCAGAGAAATAATTTATGAAATTTATGAATTAAAAAACAGAATCCAGAAGATATGAACTATGTCATATCGATGTTTCTAAGTATCATGGGGGGTGTTTCACAAAGATCCTAAGTTGAACTTATCTCTAAGTTAGACTTAACAATTATGGAAAGCCATTAGCATAATTGAAAATATTTTGTAAACATTATTTTAAAAGGCATAAAATGTTAATTCAAATCATTCATGTTTTATATGATCTTGGGAGATTTCATGTTCTTGATGTGGAATTTATGAAAAGTCTAAAATACTTGAATTTTGCTTTTTGAATGTATTTCATTATTAGGCTACAAATGGCTCTCCACAACATTGAAGTCCAACTTAGAGTTAAGTTCGACTTAGAATCTTTGTGAAACACCCCTGGCTCCTCGAGTTATTTACATGTGCAATTTCTTCAGTTATTTCTAACAACACCAATTATTTGTCCTTCTGTTCCACTTCAAGTATCTCTTTAATCTTAAACCCAAATGTGAACCAATGCATGTAGCAGGGCTCTGTTTCATAAAACCTGTTATCAATACTAAATGCTAAATATCTATGACAAATTTGCTCTCAGCCAATCAAATGCCACAATCTCAGTAGTTTATAACAGTTATTGTACCTTATTTTATTATTAACATGTTTTTATGAAACAGGGCGCAGGTAATGGCATATTTCTTTTATCAATGCATTTTATTTTGTGGGAGTGCATGTATCTGTTACTGTGTACAGAAAGTGCAATTGAAATGAATAACTCTACCATTGGTTTACTAATGCATTTATGAAAAGACAACATTAAACCAATGATGTATATATTGAGTATTGAAATCTGTATGTTCTCTTATTTTGCTTGGACCTGTCATTTTGTGTTTGGTATGATTAAATTACTTTATATATGTACAGCTAACAACCAAATTATTCATACCCTTACCAAGTTTTATATTTTCCTAAAGGTAATACAAAGTTTTGGTATATATGGTCATGAATTTGGTTCAAATGAACATATTGGAAGCATATGCGGTCCTACAATACTCAGTGATCGCTGTCGCGGTTGAAATCGAGTCTTTAGTTATTCATTTCATTCATTTCATTTATTTTCCACATTAAAACCAGAAGGATATACAAGGTAAGAAAATACATTTTATACATATGACACATATAGCAAATGAAAAACATACATAAGCATAAAAGAACAATGAAAATCTACATCAGTTAACAAACATCAACATAAAAAGGTGAGTAATGTAGATGGGGCTAGAAAAAGCGAAGCTTATCGAGTCTAGCCCCGGTAGCAATGAAGGGGAAGTCCACCCTGAGAATGTGTGTGGCCAAGTAAAGGCGGAGTAAACCCATCCTCAGGGTGGACTCTCCCTTCAAATGTCTGGTTTTATGATTAGATTAAATTGACCCGATAAAAACATAATTGCGATATGAAACATAATAATAATTATTTTTTAGATTGATATGACTATTTAGAATTGCAGAGGTATTTTTTATATTTAAATTTAAATTGTCGTAATGATGCGGATTGTTTGAGACTGTCATCTAAAGCAGACCATGTAAGGTAACCCTGGTACTTGACACTTCTTTGGCCAGTAGCAGTTCTGTAATAAATGCTATGCAAATTCTTGGAGTTTCGGGTGTTATAACAATGTACATAATTGTTGCATCTAAACCAGTTTTGAAGAGAGTTTGGTAATATTCCCTTTTCAGACCTGTACATAAATTCTCCCAGTTGTAATCTACCTAATTCATATACAGTCAAAACCCTTAATTGTTTAAATATATTGTTGGTATGGGCCAAATAATGAGACATGGCAACTATGCGTATTACACGTTTTTGCAACAAATGTAAACGATTTAACAAGGTATTTGATGCATTTATCCCTGGCATATTCCCATATTGCAAATGGGGTAGAAATAATGAATTGTATAGTAAAAGCAGTACTTTTGACGGTAATAAAAATTTCAGTTTGACATAACTCCAGTAATTCTCGAGATCTTCAATGCAATATCATTAATATGTAAAGACCATGATAACTTGTCATCAATATTAACTCCCAAGAAGCGGGCACTATGCACTTGCTTTAAGGGCTGTAGTGAATCAACAAACTTAAGAGTAAGTAAGTTCTTATATTGTTTATTCAATGGTGCAAAATGCATAAAATTTGTTTTCTCAGTGTTTATCCTTAACCCATTCACTTTGTACCAAATAATAACCTTTTGTATTTCTTTATTCATATTATGGACAAGAGTATCTAGTTTCTTCTCGCTTAAAGAGACATTGGTATCGTCTGCAAAAATAATGTATGACAAAGTTTAGGAAACATTTGGCAAATCGTTTATATATATAGAATAAACAACGGTGGCCCGATTATTGACCCTTGGGACACTTCGCATACAAGTTCTTTTTCAAATGAAGTTGCATTATCATAAACAACATATTGTTTTCTTTCCTTTAAATAATCCTTTATCCACTGTAATGGCAGACCCCTCACACCATAGTACTCCAATTTGGATAATAAGGCTTGATGATTAATTGAGTCAAAAGCCTTTGAAATATCCAATGACAAACAAAGTGAATGTTTGCTATCGTCAAGGGAAGTATGTATTTGGTCCAAAAAATATGTCAAGGCCAATATAGTTGAATGACCAGATCTGAAGCCATATTGAAAATTTGACAGAATCCCTCGTTTCTCAATGTAAGACAATAATCGAGAGTAAAATAATTTTTCCAAGATTTTGGAGAAAACGGGCAAGAGTGACACCGGTCTATAATTACAAAACTGATTATGATATTGTAAATAATAAACTCTTTGTGTTATTTAGTTCCCTCTGAAGGTCAAGATATTAATTAAGCTTAAAAACAATGTTTCTTGACAAAAATCGACAGATTAGCTATTCCTGTTTCGAAATTATATATCACAACTACATATTCTGAGATTCTCATGGTCGCAGCTACCATTGTACGGCCGTAGGCGCTATTTGAAATTTATCAACATTTACCTGGTAGCACCGGTGCACTTTTATATTCAATTTTTTTTGAAAGCAGAAGTGTTTTAGGGGCTAAATTTTCGAGTGCTTACAAAACATCCACAGGGGCATCCAAATATATAAAAATTGTAAAGAATTACTATTCACCCAATTTTCAAAATTTCCCAAAACTTTGTATTACCTTTTTATGCAAACGGAAGAGAATGGGGTCTCTTCGGGTGCCTTTCCTGGAGTTTGGATGACTTCTATCGGTCGTAATGAGATTCAGACGAGGTCTCGGAGCTAACAGAAGAGATTGAGGTCTCTACGGGTGTCTTTACTGGAGTTTGGATGACGTCTGTCGGTCGTACGTGAGATTCAAACGAGGTCTCGGAGCTAACGGAAGAAAATGAGGTATCTACGGGTGCCTTTACTGGAGTTCGGATGACGTCTGTCGGTCGTACGTGAGATTCAAACGAGGTCTCGGAGCTAACGGAAGAGAATGAGGTATCTACGGGTGCCTTTACTGGAGTTTGGATGACGTCTGTCGGTCGTACGTGAGATTCAAACGAGGTCTCGGAGCTAACGGAAGAGCATGAGGTCTCTACGGGTGCGTTTACTGGAGTTTGGATGACGTCTGTCGGTCGTACGGGAGATTCAAACGAGGTCTCGGAGCTAACGGAAGAGAATAGGGTCTCTTCGGTTATTTTTACTGGAGTAAGAGAAGAAAGAGAAGTAAAACTGAACGTAATTCTAGTGGCTCGTAATTGATAACATGAGGAAGATTTTTTTTATAAAAATTGGTGCAAAAGGGTGACCCAAAAAATTTGACCTTACCCCCCCCCCCCCAACTGAAAAAAATATCTGTCAAATTTTCAAATTACCGAGACCCCCCCCCCCACACACACACACACACACACACACAAAATGTGCTCTTACCCCCTCCCCCGCTTATTCAGCGGCTGCATGGCTGAGACGTTGCGATTTTTTTTTTTGAAAAAAAAAAATACAAAATGTGCTCCACAAGACCACAACGATTCCGATCCGATTTAGCTTTCCCACACCAAGGGAGCATGAAATATCTTGACATTAAAATGATATCAATCAAATGATCCTTGGTCATTAAGATTTTAGATGTTTAAATGTTCATATAAATTGCTATCACAAATTCTTCAAAAATCGGATTGTAGTCAGATCGTGTAGTGTGCGCCGGCTTTAACATGCATACTACAGTGCGTATCACAAAATGTGTACCCAACTTTAGTAGCTTCTAATTAAAAAGTTATAACGTGTGTGACCTTTAATCATATGTTATTGTAAAGAAGAACTAACACCCTGTTTAATGATACCTTTTTCATAATTGTGCTGCCAAGTTGGACTGAACAGCAGGCTTTTCATAAGGTAGTGTCGAAATCCTGTATACCAAGTTTGGGTAGAAGCAATGAATGCGGGTCAAAAGTCATTACTTGTGCATTATCTCATTCCAAAACAATTGCTTCTTTATTTAAATTGAATATTAGGCAGTCGAAGAAAAAAAAATCGTTAACATCAACTCAAACTCAAAGAAATGCTTAATACAAGCAACATTTATGACCTTCTCTTCGTTATGGTGATTACAATCTTAACTTCATTCGCAACCCTTGTAACCTTTTGATTGAGTGATACAAAATGGAGGTTAATCAGGGATGTTTTTACATTTTTTTTTAAAATGAAAGTCTGTTGTCACTTTTTTAAATATTTATCATCATTTATTTATGCATTTGTGTTTTAATAGTAACATTGGAGTTTTCGATCGCTATCCAAGATAAACACCTTGTCCTTACGCGTGCATGTGATCTGTCACAGTGGACAATAAGTGAGCAGAGCAGGGCCGTAGCCAGAGTTTGATGTTGGGGGGGGGGGGCACATACATGTAAGTGATCGACGTCCTGGGGAGGGGTCTAAAAAAAGTTCAACCGATCTTGGAAATTTTTTTGGGGGGCACGTGCCCCCCCCCCCCCCCCCACCCCCTTGGCTACGGGCCTGGAGCAGAGAGAACTTAGATATCATGAGACAAGAAGTTAGTAGGCTGTTTAAAATCCTTAGAGGTTACCCTGTAGATTGAAACAAGGTTCTGTGAAAGTCTAGTTACAGTGCTTCATTTTAAACAACGAAGCACTGAAACACGAAGCACAATTTAACTTTTAAAAGGATTTAAGACCAAAGAAGCACATGCGTATGGCCTCTCCTACTTTGGTCCCTAACTTGGAACAAGGCGTTTTTTTAAAACACTCTTTATAGACCCTGGTGCTCATATATGCAAACTATTATGAATACGGTATAATTCGACAGAAAATTAATTACTATTCATCATAATATGGTTACGACTTTTCAATAAGGAGCTACCAGAGTACACTTTAATTGATACGCACTGTATAATTAAAACGGTAGTTTTGCGCAACATTATCTTTGCCTCCTGGTGCTATAGATATTCATGATATTAATAGATCGTACGGTAGCCTTGCGTTTTATATACTCTAGGGTTGAAGCGGTGGCATCAGTCTGGTCGCACGGTCGCCGTATGGTCCCCCTTCGGCCACCTTGCGGCTACCTTGTGTCTGCCTTAGGATTTGTCAAAAAGCTACGGCCGCAGCAGCGACGCCCTAAGGCGACCATGCGTCATCACTTCAAATGACAGATTTTCTGTCTCCACAAATTCAAAATACGCCGTGCGGCTACCCTAACATATTGTGACCGCTACCGTATGTGACCGTGTGGGAATGCTGCGGCGGTCCTATTATTATTGCTATTGGCCGTAGATATTTTAGACCGCACGGCCGCCGCGGCAAATGTAACCTAGGCATAAACAAACCTGGTTATTTTGGTACTCTCTCACCCGGAGGCTTAAGTTTGTTCATATTATTGCCATCATGAGCGATATAAACGAATCCCTATTTAAGGGCCTATCTCACTGAGCAGCGAATGCTTGCGAACGTTGCGAATTTGGATTCGCCAACTTTTCTGACGAATGTTGGCGAAAATCAGCGACATTAAGTGAAGTTTAGCGACAATTAGCAACATTTGAGCGAATGTCTCCGAAAGTGTTTGCGAAAGGCAGTTGGCGACTATTAGCGACTGTAAACAAATGTTAGTGACAACTTTTGCGAAGATTAGCAACTATTTGCCAATCCTTTGCCACTATTTGTGAACGTTTGAGACCTTTTGCTAACTACTGGTACTAAATGGGTCGATTTTATAAAGGAACCATATGGTAACGTGGTCGCTAGCTTTGGCGAAACACAGAGAACTGACGAAAACAAAGAGCAAAACCGTTTAACAACCGTTTGCAAAGGCTTACGACTGTTTTGCAAACGCTAACGACTGTTTTGCAAACGCCTGCAACTGTTTGCGGAAAAATAAATTCGCAAAGAAATTTTGAACATGATCAAAATTTCTTTGCGACAAGAAAAACTGTTTACAACAAAGAAAACTGTTTGCGATCTTTCTTGCAACCTTTTACAACACTTTACAAACTCTGGCGAAACCCCAAATTCGCTACGTTCGCAAGCATTCGCCGCTCAGTGAGATAGGCCCTTTAGGCCCTAGAATGTTTCTTACCAGGGAAGCCAGAAGCAAGACTCGCCAAAACAAAAAGGACACCTGCAAAGCTCAAAGAGATCTTCTTCCATGCCATGATCACGACAAACCCCATTCAGGAGAACATTTGTCGAGCAGAAACAATCACCGATTACGAACTGGAGCAACTTACTATAATTATATATAGGCCCTACATTCAGCCAATGAGCAAAACTTACAACAATGTTCAGAATACCACCCCTGCTCTCTCTCTCTCTCTCTTTCTCTCTCTCTCTCTCTCTCTCTCTCTCTCTCTCTCTCTCACTCCCTCCTTTCTTTCTCTCTATCTGCTTTAAAACCGAAACCATCCTCGAATAACCAAGCTGTTTACGGAAATTATAGCCTTGAAAGTACAAAGAAGGAAAAATGAAAGTTTGAAGAATATTAACAAACTTCCTGATTTAAGCTGTTGGTTTTGTTAAAGCATGTTGTCATGTTTTTCACGGGGAAACAATCACCGATTACAAACTGGAGCGACTCGATACAATTATGCATAGGCCCTATACCTTCAGCCAATGAGCGCCTGTGGTCTCACTATTTCCTCTCTTTCTCTTTTTTTCTTTCTCTCTCTCTCTCTCTCTGCTTTAAAAAGGAAACTATCCTCGAATGATCTATAGATGTTCACGAAAATAGCCTTGAAATTTCGAAGAGAGAAAAATGAAAGTTTGAAGATTACGTAGAATGTTAATTTAACATGTTGGTTTTGTTTAAGCAGGGAGTTTTCATGGTTGTGGCTTCCTGGTTAAAGTGAATGGTTACAGTCCACGAGACAGATAATGTCGGTCTCACGGGTTCTGGGAAGTTATTAGAGGCTTCGCGAGACCGAGGGCCATCTACTGATCTAGGGATTATGGTGCCCGGGTCCAACAATGAAATTGCCCCCTTCCCCCCTTCCAAAAGTAACTACGTAACTACGTAACAAAGCGGACTAACGGTAGGATTACGCCTTAAAAAAAAATGCATTGTACCTAACGCACAAATCTAAAAGGGAATACTGAAATCAAAGTGTATACATAAAAATACCAAGGGGGGGGGGGGGTTTAACCCTCCAAACATCCCCCTGCGTACGCGCCTGACCATAAGCGATGTGGGCCTTCTTTTCATTTTTCCCGAATGGAGCGCAAAGGAACGAAAACTCGGGGGATATCTTGTATAGTAAGCAACCGACAGTTAAGATTTCTTTCAAATGTTGAACCTTTGTAAATGCACAGAGTTAATCGGGGCGGCGGAACGTCTTTCAAAGTGGGCCGGGGCACCAACAAAAAAGGGCACTTTCTGGGGGGGGGGGGGAGGGGAACCTACGAAGTTTTACCTTAAATTAAAGGAAATACAATTATGCTATTGATATAGTTTCTCTTTACGTGGACAAGATACATGGTGAGCATCATATTTTTGCAGTTGTGTGTGTGATGGTCTGAAGATACATGTATGATAAATGTATGATGTATAGATGTATGAGGTCGCATTGCGACAAATTAGTTCTTATTGATAGAAAAAAAAAACCGTCATGCTCTCGTTTTTAATACGTATAATCTCTTAACAAAAGAATGAATAAGACCCTTATAAAATTACATTATTATATAAACTAAAATGCAAATGAGCGTAGCGGGCGAGCTTTTTGAGAAATTGGAGGGGAAAATGCCCTCATTCGCTTTAGATTACGGTGCACATAATATAAGGAAGGCTATGCGAATTCTGTTGTTTCAGGGGAGACGGGTCGGGATGGGGGTGTGACAAAAATATATTGTCTTTTCCCACTTAAAAGGGGGAATTTGGGGGAAACTTAAAAAATGGGGGCACTATGCCCCCTTGCTCCCCCCCCCCCGAGCGCCGCGCCTTTGCTATTTTATCCGAATGTATCTTATAAGGGCGCAAGATTAAAAAACAGCTGATGAAACTTATACATTATAAAGTGAAAGCTTTCATAAACAATGATTGTTATGTTTTAAAAGAAACTAACATCCAATGACGGACTGTGCTTATTTGCGAGTTTTAGTCTGTCTCCCCAACAAAGGCCCGACAATGAAATTAGGATGTAAGATTTAATTTATGCATCTTCTGTAACTTTTCTAATCAGCTGATCGTGTATGTCATTGTATGTATAATGGACCCTCATCCATGATCCAAAATTATGTTTTTCTTCACATTCTATTTCTTTTGTCATGCTGAAGTAAAATTTGTCTTCTTGTACTGTAATTTATTTTGAAATAGAAATTGCCTTCAAGTTATATCTACGGTGCCATGTCAACAGATAATAAATATCCGCTCTCTGGTACATTCATCTCAGTTGATTTTGTAACTGAGCAGCGGAAAACGTTGATTTTGTAAAAAAACAAATACCAGAAGCGGTTAGAGTATGTAATTACATGAGAAAATAAAATGTTAAAGAAAATAAAGTGTCTTTCTTCCTCGTTCGCTGAAAATATCCCGACAGCAAGGCGCCCGAATATATATTATATCTTTTATTTCGAAATTTGACCACACTCATTATAGAAACATGATAAATAAGGGCAACAATTGGCCCGAATACCCTCATATTCGTGTATCAAACTAGGTCATGACCGAATATATCATTTTTATTGATGTATACATTCGGTGGCGAGGTGCCCAGATAGAGTACTTTAAATCGTGTCTAGTGTGTTGATTACAAACTAATTTTTTTAGTCGTCCTCGGTGTTTCCCGGGGGGTATTTGTCCTGAAACAGTGAAACGCACAGAAAGACATTTTCAGTTTTGACTTTCTCATGCAAAAGTATTTTTAACATTCCCCCGCCAGATAAATCAGGCTTTAAAACAACACATCCGTGAGATCTTCCGAGAACCTATAAAATAATTTTCAAGGGGGAAATCCCCAAGTTCTGTTGAGAGCCAGACGGGCTAGGTGTATACCACATTATACTCAGACATGGTAGTTTATGCCCTTCTGGCTTACTACGTATATGTCGCGGTAAATCTCCTCGGTTTACCTCGACTGGGTGAACGTAGACTTTGGGTGCATATACTGCTTGTCAAGTCTGACACAGCTACATAATATGGAAACGTTTGCTTGGATTTGTCTCATATAAAAGAAGTTGACCGAAAACTAACTTCCACATACAGGCGCGTACACAGGGGGGGGGGGGGGGGGGGGGGGGGGGGGGGGGGGGGGGGGGGGGGGGACTTTGGTATTTTTCTGTGTGTAAACCCCCCCCCCCCCCTCAGCAATTTTTTTTTTTTTATTTATTTAAAAAAAAAAAATTCCCATGGCTGTCCTAAAAAAGCTGACCTCCCCCCCCCCCCAACGGAGCAAAATGTCAGACAAAAAAAAGTGTCCTTTTACCCCCCCCCCCTGCTTATTCAGCGGTCGGCTGAGTCGTTGCGATTTTTTTGGGACCAAAAAAAAAAAAAATGTCCTCTTACCCCCCCCCCCCCCCCCCCCCCCCCCCCCCCGCTTATTCAGCGGCTGGCTGAGTCGTTGCGAAATTTTCGGCCCGATTTATAAATGTTAAACACCCCCCCCCCCCCCCCCCCCCCTTGACAAAATCCTACGTACGTACCTGACCACATAGTATTGAGTGCAGGGGTCACGGCGGCTTCATCGGGCATGTAGTTCCATTATGTGAATGGGTAAAGTCCAACAACAATATACAACCAATCAAAACAAGTTTAATACCAGAAGATAACGATTAGTATATTCATTAGCCGCTCACCCAAAGCCTCCTGACCATAATGGAACGAGTGAGGGCTTGCGAGAGCGGCTGAAGTGCAGTTGAAACTCGCTATTTTGCCCCGGCCCCCGGCCCCCCCCCCCCCCCCCCCGCCCCCACTCCGGGGTCGGAAGGACCGAATGCGTGTTACCAAAATGAACTCAAGGTCACACTTGAGTCACACCAAACCATACCAGAACTCAAGGTCACCTTTGATTCGCATCAAACCATACCAGAACTCAAGGTCACGTACCCTTGAGTCGCACCAAAACCATACCAGAACTCAAGATCACCTTTGAGTCGCACCAAACCATACCAGAACTCAAGATCACCTTTGAGTTGCACCAAACTATACCAAAACTCAAGGTCACCTTTATGCCGCACCAAAACCATACCAGAACTCAAGGTCACATTTGAGTCGCACCAAACCATAACAGAACTCAAGGTCATCTTTGAGTCGCACCAAACTATACCAGAACTCAAGGTCACCTTTGATTCGCACCAAACCATACCAAAATTCAAGGTCATCTTTGATTCGCATCAAACCATACCAGAACTCAAGGTCACGTACCCTTGAGTCGCACCAAAACCATACCAGAACTCAAGGTCACCATTGAGTCGCACCAAACCATACAAAAACTCAAGGTCACCTTTGAGTCGCACCAAACCATACCAAAACTCAAGGTCATCTTTGATTCGCATCAAACCATACCAGAACTCAAGGTCACGTACCCTTGAGTCGCACCAAAACCATACCAGAACTCAAGATCACCTTTGAGTCGTACCTAACCATACAAAAACTCAAGGTCATCTTTTAGTTGCACCAAACTATACCAGAACTCAAGGTCACCCTTGAGTCACACCAAACCATCTGCGCCAAAGTCATGGTATGCAAACAGGTGAGGGACAAGGCTACGGAAATTGCTTCGCAAGTATTTGCGATCGTGTTAACTGTATTTTCTTTTGTTTCAAGATTAGGGATAGCCACATGAAATCATGCTTTGGATATCCTTGTGTGTCCACCTGATGAGTCAACATGGATCAGCTGTTTTCTGATGGTGTAGGTATGGAAGGCCGTTGGTGACTTTATTCACATGCCCCAGACGTATGCAAAGTTCTACAGAATTTGATGTTGGCTGCAAAAGGGACATAGTATCTTTAAATCATGCTGTGGATATCCTTGTGTGTCCACCCGATGAGTCAACGTGGATTAGCTGTTTTATGATGGTGTAGGGTACATTCTCATACGTGATATTTCCATTTCCACCTGCCGAACCCAATAATCCGCTATGATTTTCGACCTGGATGTAAGAAGGAAGAGAGAAAGAGAGAGAGAGAAAGAGGGAGAAAGAGAGAGAGAGAGAAAGAGAAAGAGGGAAAAGGAAAGAGAGAGAGAGAGAGAATTTAGAAGTAAAACTGATCGTAATTTTAACAATCTTTTCCTTCCACCATCGTAAAACCCCTAATTGTGATTTTAACAAGTACCGCTGATCAAACAAACAAAGATGCAGTACTATAGTAGGCCTACTTTGTGTTTAAGGTGTGTAAGGAAGGCCAAATTGATTTTAAACAATTGAATGGCATGCTTGCAAAAGCATTACGAATAAACATCAACCAGCTGAAATTGGGTGGATATTATTTTTTAAAACTGTTGTTAAAATAGCAACAACAACAACATGTTCAAATGTATTAAATCTGTTTTAGTTTTCTTGGTATGATTTGGAAAAGATCTACGATATACTCTTTCTTCTAGGGGATAGAACTTCTCCCAGGAAGCATTACATTTATTTGTTTTTAAATTGAGAATTGTTGTGCATAAAGAAGGGAAGTACCTCTGCGGGAGTTTGGATGACTTCTACCAGTCGTGCAAGATCTTCAAACATGGGAACAGGGCTCTCTTCGGGTGCCTTTGCGGTAGTTTGGATGACTTCTATCGGTCGTACGTGAGATTCAAACGAGCTAGATTCAACGAAAGAGAATGGGCTCTTTTCGGACGGTTCTACAAGGGAACTCCAAGAAGGACTAGCTTCATGGACCTGTTGTGAAAGGGCAGCGGAAGATAAAGTGTATACCGGTACAAGGAAAGTACACTGAATGAATCGTTACTTCCACTCGTTTAGACCTGTTAAATTCTTCTATTCTACATCAAAATCTGTATGGATAATGCATTAGACTGTGAACTCATACCCTACAGACAATCTACTAATTTCCATTTCTGCAATCCCAAAACAGTTATATCCAGGCGCGTACGCAGGGGGTTATTTTGGGGGTCGAACCCCCTCAATTTGTTTGTATGTGTGTGATTTAGAGGAAAACCCTCCTCTCAAATTTGTGTATAATAATACAAAAAAAAACTTTTTAAATTTTGTTTTGGTGCAACAGGGTGGCCCCAAAAATTAACCTTACTCCTCCCCCCTAACTGAAATAAATATCTGTCAAATTTTCAAATTACCGGGACCCCCCCCTCCCCCCCCCCCAAAAAAAAAGTAAAACAAAAAAGTGCTCTTACCCTCTTAGAAAGTTATGGTAACTTTGAAACCATTTAAAAAGGTGTTTTAAGACACCTAATAATTACTAATTTTTCACTCCTAAATATCACGGATACACAGCTTAGATTAGTAATCAGCTTGAGCCACGTGATCATCACCGAGACAGTTATGGTAACTTTGAAACCATTTAAAAAGGTGTTTTAAGACACCTAATAATGACCAATTTTTCACACCTAAAAATCACGGATGCCCAGCTTAGATTGATAATCCGTTTGAGTCACGAGATCATTACCGCGGAACTTATGGCAACCTTGACTATACCATTTAAAAAGGTGTTTTAAGACACCTAATAATTACTAATTTTTCACTCCTAAATATCACGGATTCACAGCTTAGATTAGTAATCAGCTTGAGCCACGTGATCATCACAAAGACAGTTATGGTAACTTTGAAACCATTCCAAAGAGGTGTGTAAGACACCTCAAAATTACTAATTTAATACAACCAAAGATTCACGGACAGAACAATAAGACGATTAGCCGGTGAAACCAATCGATATAGGTGCTTAAAAGACCAAATAATTACTTATTTATCACCAGCATCGGTTAACGGACAAAAAACTCGTTGCTTGGTTAAGTGGTTATTTGGTCATAAACACTTGAGTTACAGAGGTAAGTGGAATGACGTTACTCCAGTCGCGTGATAAATTGGTGGTTTTTAGGTTAGATGAAAACGTGAACAGGAGTACGTTTTTTGTTTATGTGAAGGCACGGGTCGATAACGTATAAATCTAGTTCAAAAGTCACCATACTTTAAAATCACTTAAAATACACTCCCAAAAGTGTTTTAGTGTTCTGTTTATTGGGCCGGGGGGGGGGGGGGGCACGTGCCCCCTGTGCCCCCTGGCTCCGTCCCTGTGTATACTTACAAACAAAATAACGAGTTGGGGATCCTTTTCATCGAGCCAATTTGGGCTTTCATGATTCCCCACTTCCTTTTATCTTATGTTGATAATGAACAAACATGTATATACTTTTAATGTTTTTTAAAAGAGAGTGAAATAAATAAATGAAAAGAACTTAAAGTTTCTACCTACCGGATCTGTTGGTCCAACTCCTATGAGAGCATCAGCTAATGCCGGTAGCAATGTTTGGAAATAGTCGGGCCATTCGCTCCAATCACTCCATCCTCTGTGAACTGATAACGTTAGAGCAAGGATAGGTCTAATGATTTATGAAAAGGTCAAATTAAATATCGGCAAGTCTCTTTTTTCCTTTTTTAAATTGAAATCTGAGAATTGAAAAGAGAAATCTGAGGACATCTAGGCAACGGATTTACACAATAATAAGCAACTACACCTGCCTCTGTATTGTGCATTATGTGTTATTTTTTATTTGAAAATTACAAAAAATGGCTTTGTATGTACATACAAATATAACATAAAATAGAACCTATCTTTATTTTCAATCATTCCGGAAGAGAAACTAAGAATCAATTTTAAGTGGCCCAACGAATGTTGCACATGCAAAATGCGTCATTGATGACGTAGGGCTGCGTCAACAAACGACCGTACACGGTCCTTCAAAGTGAATGTGAAATGCACAGTGTAAAGATTGCATTGAACTACTGGCCTATGGGATATTTGTCTTCCTATATACAGGGGGGGGGGGGGTGCACGTGCCCCCTAAAAAAATCTTCATGATCGGTTGAACTTTTTTAGACCCCTCCCCAGGACGTCGATCGATTGTCATGTATGTGCCCCCCCCCCCAAAAAAAAAAAATAAATAAATAAATAAATAAATAAATAAATAAATAAATAAAAAAAATAAATAAAAAAAAAAAAAAAAAAAGTCTGGCTACGGGCCTGCCTATGCAATCAAATGACGCCTCGTGCTTTAAAGAGGCATGTTCCCCGTATTCCAGAGGGCGTTCAAAATACGTACCCGCTGGCGGACGGTGCTAGCTGCCTATTGACACCAACAGAATACGGCTCTTACGCAGATGGCATGTTCCGAATGCCCGGACAATACCGATTATCGCATACATGTGCCGAAGTAATGCCAATCGCAGTTCGGCTCTAAGATTCGGCTGCTGTTTCCGCCCACTTTCGTGACGTCGCGATCGTCAGCGATCAGCTGGCTTGGCGAAGGCAGGCCAGGCCGCGCGTACTTTGATTGACAGCTGTATGCAAATTAGAAGTCGATCTTCGGAACCAAGATGGCGATGACTAGAGCAGCGATAACTACACTGGCGGGAACGTGCCACTTTAAGCCAAGCGCACACTGTCTTCCCGATTCTCGTGCGATCCGATTTTTATTAAGGGCGGTATATATATATGGAAATCTAAACAACCTTTATCCTTCTGATTTAGGTATAATATTTAATTCAATATTAACAACCGGAATTTGGGATCTGCATTCGTGACTTATCCACTAGATCACAACGATTCGGAGCCGATTTAACTTTCCCACACCTAGTGGGCATAAATATCTTGAAATTAAAATGTTATCAATCAAAATAATGATCCTCGGTCATTACGATTTTAGATGTTTAAATGTTCATATAAATTGCTATCACAAATTCTTCAAAAATCGGATTGTAGTCAGATCGTGTAGTGTGCGCCGGCTTTAACATGCATACTACAGTGTGTATCACAAAATGTGTACCCAACTTTAGTAGCTTCTAATTAAAAAGTTATAACGTGTGTGACCTTTAATCATATGTTATTGTAAAGAAGAACTAATACCCTGTTTATTGATACCATTTTCATAATTGTGCTGCCAAGTTGGACTGAACAGCAGGCTTTTCATAAGGTAGTGTCGAAATCCTCCTGTATACCAAGTTTGGGTAGAAGCAATGAATGCGGGTCAAAAGTCATTACTTGTGCATTATCTCATTCCAAAACAATTACTTCTTTATTTAAATTAAATATTAGGCAGTCGAAGAAAAAAAATCGTTAACATTAACTCAAACTCAAAGAAATGCTTAATACAAGCAACATTTATGACATTCTCTTCGTTATGGTGATTACAATCTTAACTTCATTCGCAACCCTTGTGACCTTCTGATTGAGTGATACAAAATGGAGGTTAATCAGGGATGTTATACTTTTTTAAATGAAAGTCTGTTGTCACTTTTTCAAATATTTATCATCATAAATGTTTTTTCTTGCATTTGTGTTTTAATAGTAACCTTGGAGTTTTCGATCGCTATCCGAGATAAACACCTTATCCTTACGAGTGCATGTGATCTGTCACCGTGGGCAAGACAGTGAGCAGAGCAGGGCCGTAGCCAGAGTTTGATGTTGGGGGGGGGGGGGGGGGCGCATACATGTAAGTGATCGACATCCTGGGGAGGGGTCTAAAAAAAGTTCAACCGATCTTGGACATTTTTGGGGGGCACGTGCCCCCCCTCCCACCCGTGGCTACGGGCCTGGAGCAGAGAGAACTTAGATATCAGAAGACAAGAAGTTAGTAGGCCGTTTAAAATAGAGGTTACCCTGTAGATTGAAACAAGGTTCTGTGAAAGTCTAGTTACAGTGCTTCATTTTAAACAATGAAGCACTGAAACACGAGGCACAATTTAACTTTTAAAAGGATTTAAGACCAAAGAAGCACATGCATATGGCCTGTCCTACGTTGGTCCCTAACTTGGAACAAGGCGTTTTTTAAAACACTCTATATTGACCCTGGTGCTCATATATGCAAACTATTATGAATACGGTATAATTCGACAGAAAATGAATTACTATTCATCATAATATGGTTACGACTTTTCAATAAGGAGCTACCAGAGTACACTTTAATTGATACGCGCTGTATAATTAAAACGGTAGTTTTGCGCAACATTATCTTTGCCTCCTGGTGCTATAGATATTCATGATATTAATAGATCGTACGGTAGCCTTGCGTTTTATATACTCTAGGGGTGAAGCGGTAACATCAGTCTGGTCGCACGGTCGCCGTATGGTCCCCCTTCGGCCACCTTGCGGCTACCTTGTGTCTGCCTTAGGATTTGTCAAAAAGCTACGGCCGCAGCAGCGACGCCCTAAGGCGACCATGCGTCATCACTTCAAATGACAGATTTTCTGTCTCCACAAATTCAAAATACGCTGTGCGGCTACCCTAACATAGTGTGACCGCTACCGTATGTGACCGTGGGAATGCTGCGGCGGCCCTATACTTGCTATTGGCCGTAGATATTTTAGACCGCACGGCCGCCGCGGCAAATGTGACTTAGGCATAAACATACCTGGTTATTTTGGTACTCTCTCACCCGGAGGCTTAAGTTTGTTCATATTATTGCCATCATGAGCGATATAAACGAATCCCTTATGCCCTAGAATGTTTCTTACCAGGGAAGCCAGAAGCAAGACTCGCCAAAACAAAAAAGACACCTGCAAAGCTCAAAGAGATCTTCTTCCATGCCATGATCACGACAAACCCCATTCAGGAGAACATTTTGTAGAGCAGAAACAATCACCGATTACGAACTGGAGCAACTTACTATAATTATATATAGGCCCTACATTCAGCCAATGAGCACCTGCTGGGGCGGTATTCTGAACCCTGTGTTATCTCTAATATTGTTGTATCTTTGAAGATAAGATAAAGTATTCTGAACACTGTTGTAACTTTTGTGTTATCTTTTGTTGTATATTCTTTTCTCTCATCTCATTGGCCGCGCCTGCGCTCATAGTTTGGTGCGCTTGTAATTGTGCGTATTATTAATAAAGTGGCGTTTAATCCTCATTTGCATATGCGCACGAGAGATAATTTATGTCGAGATAATTGGTATTCTGAAAGTTGTTGTATCTTTTATCTTATCTTATCTTGCATGGTATTTACAACAATATTTACAACAGATAGGGGGTTGTTGTATCTTTCATTGTGATATAATGGCGGCAATATTTCTTGCCCAGAACCAACTTCGTGCCAATAGACGAGTTAAAAGAAAATTGTGTGTTGACCGGAAACATCACAGATGAGAACTTTCTACGAAATTACATGATAGGATATGACGATTTTAATGCTCTCATCTTAACCGATATGGTGAAAGCGTGATTTGTCTTCATGATCCACATTCAACTTAACAGCGCATAATGATGACGCGCGTAATAAGCGCTCAAATAACTAATTACGCTCAAGATTAGTATGCGCTAGGCGCATCTTTAGATATGGCCTAAATTATTCCTATTGGTTGACCTACTTATAATGCTTATATAAAACAGATTTTGATTCGTAGGGTCCATACAAATGGGCGTGTCAATAGTGGTCAAAGATAAGATAGAGGCGGTTCTTCGAGAGATAACACAGGGATAAAATGATGTTCAGAATACCAACTTACAACAATATTAGCGCTTTGTTATCTCTGGAAGATACAACAAAAGATAACACAAAACTTACAACAATGTTCAGAATACCACCCCTGCTCTCTCTCTCTCTCTCTCTCTCTCTCTCTCTCTCTCTCACTCCCTCCTTTCTTTCTCTCTATCTGCTATAAAGCCGAAACCATCCTCGAATAACCAAGCTGTTTACGGAAATTATAGCCTTGAAAGTACAAAGAAGGAAAAATGAAAGTTTGAAGAATGTTAACAAACCTCCTGATTTAAGCTGTTGGTTTTGTTAAAGCATGTTGTCATGTTTTTCACGGGGAAACAATCACCGATTACAAACTGGAGCGACTCGATACAATTATGCATAGGCCCTATACCTTCAGCCAATGAGCGCCTGTTGTCTCTCTATTTCCTCTCTTTCTCTTCTTTCTTTCTTTCTCTCTCTCTCTCTCTCTGCTTAAAAAGGAAACTATCCTCGAATGATCTATAGATGTTTACGAAAATAGCCTTGAAAGTTCAAAGAAAGAAAAATGAAAGTTTGAAGATTATGTAGAATGTTAATTTAAGATGTTGGTTTTGTTTAAGCAGGGAGTTTTCATGGTTGTGGCTTCCTGGTTAAAGTGAATGGTTACAGTCAACGAGACAGATAATGTCGGTCTCACGGGTTCTGGGAAGTTATTAGAGGCTTCGCGAGACCGAGGGCCTTCTACTGATCTAGGGATTATGGTGCCCGGGTCAAACAATGAAATTGCCCCCCTCCCCCCTTCCAAAAGTTATCTACGTAATTTACAAGCGAGAGAGCAAAGCGGACTAACAGTAGGATTACGCCTTTTAAAAAAAGATGCATGCTACCTAACGCACAAATCCAAAAGGTAATACTAAAATCGAAGTTTACATTTTTTGTTAAATTTTGAACCATAAGCGACGTGGGCCTTCTTTTCATTTTTCCCGAATGGAGCGCAAAGGAACGAAAACTCGGGGGATATCTTGTACAGTAAGCAACCGACAGTTAAGATTTCTTTCAATGTTGAACCTTTGTAAATGCACACAGTTAATCGGGGCGGCGGAACGTCTTTCAAAGTTGGCCGGGGCACCAACAAAAAAAGGGCATTTTCGGGGGGGGGGGGGGGGGGGAGGGGCACCTACGAAGTTTTATCTTAAATTAAAGGAAATACAATTATGCTATTGATATAGTTTCTCTTTACGTGGACAAGATACTGATTGAGCATTATATTTTGCAGTTGTGTGTGTGATGGTCTGAAGATACATGTATGATAAATGTATGATGTATAGATGTATGATGTCGCATTGCGACAGATTAGTTCTTATTGATAGAAAAAAAAACCGTCATGCTCTCGTTTTTAATACGTATAATCTCTTAACGAAAGAATGAATAAGACCCTTATAAAATTACATTATTATATAAACTAAAATGCAAATGAGCGTAGCGGGCGAGCTTGTGAGAAATTGGAGGGGAAAATACCCTCATTCGCTTTAGATTACGGAGCACATAATATTAGGAAGGCTATGCGAATTCTGTTGTTTCAGGGGAGACGGGTCGGGGGTGGGGGTGTGACAAAAATATATTTTCTTTTCCCACTTAAAAGGGGGCATTTGGGGGGAACTTAAAAAAGTGGGGGCACTATGCCCCCTTGCTCCCCCCCCCCCCCCGAGCGCTGCGCCTTTGCTATTTTATCCGAATGTATCTTATAGGGGCGCAAGATTAAAAAACAGCTGATGAAACTTATACATTATAAAGTGAAAGCTTTCATAAACAATGATTGTTATGTTTTAAAAGAAACTAACATTCAATGACGGACTGTGCTTATTTGCGAGTTTTAGTCTGTCTCCCCAACAAAGGCCCGACAATGAAATTAGGATGTAAGATTTAATTTATGCATCTTCTGTAACTTTTCTAATCAGCTGATCGTGTATGTCATTGTATGTATAATGGACCCTCATCCATGATCCAAAATTATGTTTTTCTTCACATTCTATTTCTGTTGTCATGCTGAAGTAAAATTTGTTTTCTTGTACTGTAATTTATTTTGAAATAGAAATTGCCTTCAAGTTATATCTACGGTGCCATGTCAAAATATAATAAATATCCGCTCTCTGGTACATTCATCTCAGTTGATTTTGTAACTGAGCAGCGGAAAACGTTGATTTTGTGAAAAACAAATACCAGAAGCGGTTAGAGTATGTAATTACATGAGAAAATAAAATGTTAAAGAAAATAAAGTGTCTTTCTTCCTCGTTCGCTGAAAATATCCTGACAGCAAGGCGCCCGAATATATATTATATCTTTTATTTCGAAATTTGACCACACTCATTATAGAAACATGATAAATAAGGGCAACAATTGGCCCGAATACCCTCAAACTAGGTCATTGATGTATACATTCGGCGGCGAGGTGCCCAGATAGAGTACTTTAAATCATGTCTAGTGTGTTGATTACAAACTAATTTTTTAGTCGTCCTCGGGGGTTTCCAGGGGGTATTTGTCCTGAAACAGTGAAACGCACAGGAAGACATTTTCAGTTTTGACTTTCTCATGCAAATGTATTTTTAACATTCCCCTGCCAGATAAATCAGGCTTTAAAACAACACATCCGTGAGATCTTCCGAGAACCTATAAAATAATTTTCAAGGGGGAAATCCCCAAGTTCTGTTGAGAGCCAGACGGGCTAGGTGTATACCACATATACTCATGACATGGCAGTTTATGCCCTTCTGGCTTACTACGTATATGTCGCGGTAAATCTCCTCGGTTTACCTCGAGTGGGTGAACGTAGACTTTGGGTGCATATACTGCTTGTCAAGTCTGACACAGCATATAATGCTAGGAGTCCACTGGGCCGGCGCCAGTTGGTGCCAGTTCGCGCCAAAGATTATGTGATTGGCGCGTAGTGGCTCGCAGTGGCGCCGAATTAATGTCCGCTCGGCATGTGTCGCCAAGTGGAATACACTGGGTGCCATATGGCGTGCGCCAAATGCCACCCGGCTTGCTCCAAAATGTTGCGCCAGTTCGAGCCAGTTCGCGCCATTACACGGCCATTTGATTCCAAAATTCACCCTGTTGGCGCCATTCGCGCCAATAGACGGCTACTTTGCGCCACTTGGTGATTAGTTTGTGCCAAAGGTCGCCGAATTGGTTTGAACTCGCCGCCGCTTGGCGCTACTGGTCCATTCCCTGGTCTCAAGTTGTCTGTCATCTCGCGACTGGGGCCACCAATGCCGAGCTGTCTTACCACTTCCGAGTGGGCAAGGAAACCATCCAGAAGTTTGTCCCTGATGTAGCCAGAGCGATAGTTGTCCTGATGGCTCTGGTAGATTCAAAGTACCAGTTCCTGTGGATCGATGTGGGTGGGGTTGGCCATCAGTCTGATGCCCAGATCTACAACAACAGTGAACTGAAGGAGTGCATTGAAGCTGGCACTTTAGGCATCCCAGATCCAGCTCCTCTTCCCCATGATGATGAAGAGCACCCTATGCCGTACTTCTTCGTGGGAGACGATGCCTTTGCCATGAGGACGTACATGATGAAGCCCTAAGGCCGTCGTAACATGGACCAACAGCAGAAGATCTTCAACTACAGGCTGTCCAGGGCAAGGCGTGTGGTTGAAAATGCCTTTGGTATTCTGGCTCTGCGGTTCCAGTGCTTCCTTGGCCAGATGAGACAGGAACCAGACACAGTCCGCCTGCTCATTGAAGCTGCCGTCATGCTGCACAACCTCATCAGGAAGCGCTATCAGGCAGTGGACGTCCGCATGTTGGACCAGGAGGATGCCCAGCACAACCTCATCCCTGGAGCTTGGAGAACTGCCGCCATCACTGTGAGAAAGTCCTGTTGTTGTTAATTTAAAATTTGTTTTGGCATTGCAGTCAGAAATGACTATTTATGCCAGCTAAAAAAAGCGGTATTTATTTGAATATATTCATATATATATATAATATTTTTTTATTATTATTATTTTTTTTTTTTTGTGCTCATTTTTTTGTTTTGTTATATATTTGGAATTCGAAATTAAATGATGTGGTACACTCTTTTATAAGAGCCGTGACTCGATACAATTATGCAGCTCTTTTGGATAAGAGAAAACAAAATGGGGAACAAGTAGACGTAAAACGGTGACACATAACATAAACATCAAAACAATAGGTGTACATTGGGAGGTGCATTTGTTAAATTCTTATACTGTTAATAAAATGATTAACATCAAATAACGTTGAGTTAGTCTTTGCCGACTATTCAAAAAAGATCAATGCCGTGATATAGAAAATTTACTAGGAAAGAGATTAACCATGGGTTAAATAGTGCAGTAACTATGAAAGGGTTTCCAGCTCTCGTGAGATGTTTCCCCTTTTCTAAAAATAAACCCACATTTTAACCAGTATCATCGAATTTGATGATCTTGGTATTATACAGGTATAGAGTTGATATAAGTTATATAATTATACCCAAAGCATAACAAAAAGAAAAAGATATATATATATATAAAGTACCCATGTACAGAATATCAGTTCTCAAAAGCTTATCCTCGTCATTATCTTGATATGAACCAGTAGTATCTATTTCGATGATATTACTATAATATCGATATAGAAACATAAATGTGTAGGCAATGTAACCAAAACCCAAAACAGAGAAGTACCTTCGGAAAGCATGCCCGCTCTCATAAGCTATAATTAGTTATTATCTAATACGACCAGTGTTGAAGGCAGTGATTACGATTACTATGATTCTATTATAGTATTATATTGTTTATCGAAATATAATTGAAAAAATATAAGGAAAGAGGTCACCCCAAGGCAAAACAAAAAGAAGGTCCCTTAGAAAGAGTGTCAGCTCTCAAAAGTTGTTCCTTCTATTTAATATATTGAATTATGATAATATAATAATATTGTATTGATATAGAACTACTAATAAAACTAATATTGTATTGATATAGAAATATAATAGGTAAAACTTCCACCAAAAGCATAGGAGAAAGTCCTGCGATGCCGCCCTGCTTTTATAGGCGGCAAGTGGCGCCGAATGGCGGGCAATCAGGTGGCATTTGGCGCGAATTAGTCACCAATCGGGTGCCGTTTGGCTCGCGTAGTGGCGCAAACAAGGTGCCCCTTGGCGCCAAGTGGCGCCATGTGGCGCGAAATCTCATTGGCGCAACTTGGCGCGCGCCATTACACTCCAGTGGATTCCAATAGGCGGATTGTTTGCGCCAAAGGGCGATATGTTCGCGCCATTTGGTGCCACTTGGCGGACACTTGGCGCTGATTGCTCGATGCACTGAGTGGCGCGACGAAAATTTCAAACATTTTGAAATTTTCTTGCCGCCAAATTCAAATTTGGTGCCGTTACGGGCCACCACGAGCCAGTTGGGAGGCAGTTTGAGCCACTACACGCCACTAGGCACCTTATTGGCGACACTAGGCGCCACAGTAAATTGCATTGGCGCAAACTGGCGCCAACTGGCGCCGGCCCAGTGGACTCCTAGCATTACATAATATGGAAAAGTTTGCTTGGATTGTCTCATATAAAAGAATGTGACTTAAAACTAACTACCACATAGCATTGAGTGCAGGGGTCACGGACGGCTTCATCGCGCATGTAGTTCCATTATGTTTATGTGAATGGGTAAAGTCCGACAACAATATACAACCAGTCAAAACAAGTTTAATACCAGAAGAAAGCTAACGATTAGTATATTCATTAGCCGCTCACCCAAAGCGTCCTGACCACAATGGAACGAGTGAGGGCTTGCGAGAGCGGCCGAAGCGCAGATGAAACTCGCTATTTTGCCCCGGCCCCCGACCCCCTAGGGGGTGTTTTCAAAAGGAGGGAACACGCATATGCGTACCCTAAATGACACTGATTGGGGTTGGGGGCGGGTATTTTGCTCATCTCCAACGCAAAAAATACACGACATTGTGCTGGATTACTATGTTTTTTTCCGACAAAAGTAAGAAAGTTCATAATATTTTGTTATATTATATTTTTTAAAGGTTAGGCCTACCCAAGTAACTTACGGGCACCCCATGCAATGCTGGAAAGAAACGCACTTTTTTAAATAAAAAACTTCACTTTTTCATGCATAAATGCTTAGGCCAAATTTTGTTCTATTCACGCAAGTCAAATTGAGCGGATGATACACGTTTCCATATGGGCGAACCTCGATCTCAGTGTGAGCAGCATGGCAGTAGGATTACATACACAGTTTAATGAAAGTCCATATACTCTTGTAAATATGATCATAAAGACTTGGGAGAATTCAACTCAAGGACGATTTCAATACCATATCTTACAGAAATCGCGTCCGGATTGCATTATATGTAATTGTAATACACAGGACTTCCCCTTCCAACGGCCTAGCTTGGGTTGATTTTTCGTAAGTCTTTACGGTCGTGTAAATTTTTAATAAAAATGAAAAAAAAATGTTTTTTTATTGAGTTAAAATGCTTGATGAAAGTGAATCTCTCATTAAAAATTTCTGCCGGAAAAAAAAAGCCGGACTAGCATTTCGTTGGACAAAAGTTAAGTAACGTCGTCGTAGGGCAAATTTGTTTATAAGTTTTTTTACAAATTAATGCGAATGATATAAAGAATGTACCAAAAGAAAAAGGGGACAAGATTGGTTTCAGAATAAGTTTAAAGAAATACTGTTTATTCTTTGCCTCATGGTGGCGCCTTAAACAAAATCAAATGATTAGTAAGAAAAAGTAAGAAATTTCTTCATCAGAAATGATGTGCATGTTTTATTTTTATTAAGCAAATAATTACCGTTGGTTAAGGTGATGGGACAAACTATCACCTCCGAGGCGATATGGATGTAGCAAAGCGAAGCTGAGGAAAGAAAGCGTATTCAGATCACCGAGGAAGTGATAGTTTCCCAGGTCGAAATTCCAGTTGATACCAGTTGAAACCAGTAAGGATTTCCAACTGGTATCTACTGGTTTGAACTGGTCTCAACTGGTCTCAACTGGTACCAGTTGATACCAGTTGATACAATTTGGAAACCAATAGAAATACCAGTTGACATCTGAGACCAGTTGATATTACCAGTTGATTTACCAGTTGAAACCAGTAGATGATTACCAGTTGATTTACCAGTTGAAAACCAGTATGATTACCAGTTGATTTACCAGTTGAAAACCACTAGATGATCACCAGTTGATTTACCAATTGAAAACCAGTAGATGATTACCAGTTGAAAACCAGTAGATGAATACCAGTTGAAAACCAGTAGATGAGTACCAGTTGATTTACTAGTTGAAAACCAGTAAGATTACCAGTTGATTTACCAGTTGAAAACCAGTAGATAATTACCAGTTGATTTACCAGTTGAAAACCAGTACGAATACCAGTTGATTTACCAGTTGAAAAACCAGTTCAATGTATCGCATGAATATTCATGATTTGCATGTTTTCACCGAAAATATAATTATCATGATCTTTCAAGCAAATGTGACAATGCACATACATTTTGTGATTTACATTTTCTTAGTTAATTATTGACAAATATATTACACATGTCTGATCATGTTTTTCATCTAATTTAAGACGTAAAATTAGATATATTGGTATATGTAATTACTTACCAGAAATAAAGTGTATAAATTTATATATATATGTATGCACGAACAATACATGTAAAATCACACAATACACATCTGTAATCTACTTCAAATGATCATTGTGATGGGGTAATTGCAAGAGTTAGTATATGTGGTAAATTTGGTTGCCAGATTCTAATAATGATTATTGATTATCAGTTGATTGATAATCATCTGAAAAATCAACTGGTAAATCAACTGGTAAATCAACTGGTCTCAGTTAGCGTTGTTTCAATTTCCATATTAAAAACCAGTTGAATCTACTGGTTTCAACTGGTACCAGTTGACTTACTGGTTTTAACTGGTACCAGTTGCCTACTGGTTTCAACTGGAAATTCAACTGGTAAATCAACTGGTAATTGAACTGGTAAATCAACTGGTATTTCAACTGGTAAATCAACTGGTCTCAGTTAGCGTTGTTTCAATTTCCATATTAAAAACCAGTTGAATCTACTGGTTTCAACTGGTACCAGTTGACTTACTGGTTTTAACTGGTACCAGTTGCCTACTGGTTTCAACTGGAATTCCGACCTGGGTTGTCATCGCCTGAAACCAAAAAGGTGACCATTTGCTTTATAGTCCACATCGGAAACATTTCCCTTCTTCCGTCATTTTAGAGCAACAAATCATCAATTAACAGCTAGCAAACGGTGTACGATACGTACAGTGGATGCAATACTTACGTACGTACGTATACGCAACGTATAAGAAAGTGCGTTGCACTGTGTAGGTAGTACTTCTATCTACACAGTGCAACGAAATTTTCTTCTCCCATCAATGATGGACGAACTATCCTTTAATTCATATCATCATATATCCAACACTTGTAAGAAGTTCATACTAATGGTCTACATCAATTTGAAAGGGAAAAACTAATTAAGCTTCTAGGTATTCTTGAGTTCTCTTAATAAAAGAAAATAAGATATCGGATTCAAACTAAACTTTCTCTGAATGCTCATATTAAAGTTAACAAGTGATATCGTTTAAGTAGATGTTGAAAGAAATGTATAACAGCTGAGTGAACAAAGCAAGATCAGAAAATCGAGAAATCGAGTAAGTCGTCCAGACTGTGTGTTTAGCAATAACATACACGTACATGGTTTCAGTGCAAATGATTTCCAGCAAGTTTTTTATATTTTTTAAATTTTTTAATGGCACATTTTGCTAATGTAAACCACACATTTATCTCATGATAAACAGTTCATAACTAATAATATTTAAAGAGAAGGTTGAGTTCTGGGAAGAGGTGAAAAATAATTTGTGAGCGTTGTCATTGCATTATGCAAGTGTGGAAGAACATGATCAGATACAAAAAGAGTTCACTGAAAAGCATGGCTCTTCAAATGCCTTAATATTCTAAGTATGGCATGTAACATCATAAAAATCGGGACAAATTTTGACGCCACATGCTGGTGTAGTCCCATATATACATCTTTCTGTGTACAATGCTTGTAACTTTACCAAGACTGGGGCAAATTTCTTATTATTTTGATGATTCCAGAATCTGCAGTACATACCAATACTTATCAACCTTTTCTGATCGATTCCTAAACGTTTCTTTCACAATGCAATCGCATGACCAGAAATCAACTTCATCTTTAAGCTATAGTCTTTCTGGAAAAATTACATCGCCAGAACTCAAGGTCATCCTTGAGTCACATCAAACCATACCAGAACGCAAGGTCACCTTTGAGTCACACCTAACCATACCAGAACTCAAGGTCACCTTTGAGTCGCACCAAACCATACCAAAACTCAAGGTCACCTTTGAGCCGCACCAAACCATACCAAAACTCAAGGTCTCCTTTGAGCCGCACCAAAACCAAAAACCAGAACTCAAGGTAACATTTGAGTCGCACCAAACCATAACAGAACTCAAGGTCACCTTTGAGTCGCACCAAACCATACCAAAACTCAAGGTCACCTTTGAGCCGCACCAAAACCATACCAGAACTCAAGGTCACCTTTGAGTCGCACCAAACCATAACAGAACTCTAGGTCATCTTTGAGTCGCACTAAACTATACCAGAACTCAAGGTCAGCTTTGAGTCGCACCAAACCATACCAAAACTCAAGGTCACCTTTGAGCCGCACCAAAACCATACCAGAACTCAAGGTCACCTTTGAGTCGCACCAAACCATAACAGAACTCAAGGTCACCTTTGAGTCGCACCAAACTATACCAGAACTCAAGGTCACCCTAGAGTCGCATCAAACCATACCAGAACTTAAGGTCACCTTTGAGTCACACCAAACCATCTGCGCCAAAGTCATGGTATGCAAACAGGTGAGGGACAAGGCTATTGAAATTGCTTCGAAAATCTTTGCGATCGTTTTTATCTGTATTTTCTTTTGTTTCAAGATTAGGGATAGCCACATGAAATCATGCTGTGGATATCTTTGTGTGTCCTCCTGATGATGAATCAACATGGAGTAGCTGTTTTCTGATGGTGTAGGTACATTGTAAAAAAGAATTTGTTCATTGGTAATTTTTACGTATTTTTCCATGTAGAATTTACTTGAAAACATTAGTTTTGCCACTTACGCACTAAATTAAGTCTTGCTAACTCAAACTTTCAATTTAGTAGAACAAACGTGGAATATTTAAGTTAAATCAAATACATAAGAACTTTAAGTAATTTCAGCTTGTATTAATTCAGTAATTTTAACTCAAAATCAGAAATTATACGTATTACTCAAACAATTTATGTTGATTATTCTTATCTTTTTAAAGTAAGGACCGATGCAGTGCGTAAAAGAAATATTTACATAATTTATGAATATTCATTAAGACCAAATTAAACTCTTTTTTAAATAAAACAATTCTTTTTTTGTGGTTGAATGAAAATTTAAGGACTTTAAAACATTTACTAATTCATTTAACACGGCTACGCAAAGACAAGCCAATTTTTAATTGTTACCCAGTTCAAAACAAATCAAAACTTGATATTTCAGGAAATTGTCAACCAATTTTCCTTTTAAGATGCTACGATCAAGTATATATAAAATTTGGAGCCTTTCAATATGTATCGAATTGAAGCGTATGTAATAGTTTGTGATGGTGGTAGATATATGTATACGGTTAAATCTTAAAAAGAAGTAGTGTTAGTGATTAGTGATTAATCTTAAATAGAAGTAGTGAATGATTAGTGGATGTTACTAGTTAGATTAGATGGGTACCAAATCGTGCAATATGTAATCCTATCATAGCTTTTTTTTTAATTATCTAAAATGACTACAGTACTAAAATTATTTACGTTAATGTAACTCGATTTAACTGAATAAAAATTTATTCAGCAAAATAAGTAAATTCTACTTAAGATGCCGTAGGTAATATTTACTTAATAGAAATAAGGCAATTCTTTTCCTCAATTTTATTGAGTTATTTCGACTATTATTTTTTTTTACAGTGTATGGAAGGCCGTTGGTGACTTTATTCACATGCCCCAGACGTATGCAAAGTTCTACAGAATTTGATGTTGGCTGCAAAAGGGACATAGTATCTTTAAATCATGCTGTGGATATCCTTGTGTGTCCGCCTGATGAGTCAACATGGATTAGCTGTTTGCTGATGGTGTAGGGTACATTCTCATACGTGATATTTCCATTTCCACCTGCCGATATCAGTCCGCTATGATTCTCGACCTGGAGGTAAGAAGAAAGAGAGATAGAGGAGAGAGATCGAGAAAGAGAGAGAGAGAGAGATTAGACATAAAATTGATCGAAATTCTAGTGGCTCGTAACTGAATATATGAAAACTGGTCTTCTTTTGCTAAAAATCTTGTTTTAGTTTTCTTGTACCCTTTCCTAACTCGCCTGATTTTCATCGGATGCATCCGGACGCATCCGATGAAACGGCCAGTATGAAAGCAACAGAGGAGAAAAAGGCGATCAAAACAGCGATTAAAATGGTCAAAGGTCGCAGTCATACGCGCGCTTTATCGTAACCAGCTGTGTTTGTTGATTCATGGTTGAACATGCTGCATGCTAGCTAGATGGAGTGCGGGCTTAATAATAACGCAATAATTCTTCACTTCCGGCAAGGGCCCGCCACAGCGAGTGAATTTCACCGGCAGTATGAAAGCGACAGGGGGGAAATTATTACTGCGGTTTCACCTTTGTTTACATAAGGAAAATTCAATCGGTATTTTCATCGGTGTGACTCCGATAGAAGCGAGTTTGAAAGCAGTATAAGTATGATTTGGAAAAGATCTATAATATACTCTTTCTTCTAGGGATAGAATTTCTCCCAGGAAGCATTACATTTATTTATTTTTAAATTGAGAATTATTGTGCATAAAGAAGGGAAGTACCTCTGCGGGAGTTTGGATGACTCCTATCAGTCGTGCAAGATCTTCAAACATGGGCACAGTGCTCTCTTCAGGTGCCTTTGTGGTAGTTTGGATGACTTCTATCGGTCGTACGTGAAATTCAAACGAGCTAGATTCAACGAAAGAGAATGGGCTCTCTTCGGGTGGTTCGATCAGGGAACTCCAAGAAGGACTAGCTTCATAAATCTATTATGAAAGGGCAGCGGAAGATAAAGTGTATACCGGTACGAAGAAAGTACACTGAATGAATTGTTACTTTTACTCGTTTAGACCTGTTTCGACTGTTTATTCTACAACAAAATTTTTAACTATAAGCTAAGAAAGATAACCAACTGTCTTTTTCAAGACTATACCAACATTCCTTTTCAGGACTATGAACCCTCAAGAAAGATCACCGAGAGTCCTTTTCTCGACTCCTTATAATCATCCCTCTCTCTCACACATGGTGCACCCGCAAGCCTACTGTATATATAACAAAATCTTTGTTGATAATAAGCATTAGACTATATGAAACACAACGTATTGCCTATATTTTTTTCAAAAAACCGTGTTGTACTTCATCAAACTGTAATATCCAAATAGAACCATCCTGTCAAAATTCAGATGTGCAAATCACCGTATACGTATTGTTACAATAATATACTCTCTCTTCTAGGGGATATAATATTTGAGGGAGATTACCTCTGCGGTAGTTTGGATGACTTCTATTGGTGGTACATGAGATTCAAACGAAGAGTCAACGAAAGAGAATGCGCTCTCTTCGGGTGCCTTTGCGGTAGTTTGGATGACCTCTGACCTGGGTATTGAGCTATCAGTATCGGAGGAGAATATGCTCTGTCCAGGCTGTGGTACAAGTGAACTCAAAGAAGGACTATCTTCATAGATCTGCTGTGAAAGAATAGCGGAAGATAAAGTGTATTCAAGGAAAATTACACTGAATGAATTTTTACTTTTATTCCACATCGAAATCTTTTTGGATAATAATCATTAAATAATGAAACATTTCGTATTGTTTATAGAATTGTAAAAAAAAAAGTACTTATCTTGACTCATAACAATATAAAACCATCCTGTCTTAATTCAGATGTGAAAATCACCGACTACCAATAATGTTACGGGCAGATACTACAGAATTGAACAGCAGAATAGAACCTGTAATCTTTGCTGCCAGAAAAATTATAGGAGATGAATTTCATGATCTTTTCGAAAGCCCGTTAATGGAAACTTTAAGACAACAAATTATCAAGCCCTAATCACAGAATACGATCTACCAAACACAAACATTTAAACATGAGTAAATAAAAAAAAAAAAAAAAAAAAAAAAAGAACAACACGGTTTTCGGATTCGGCTATTGTTTTACTAAAAGAAAGATGACGCGTTTGGATCTGACGCGGGGATCGCATCCCTCTCCTGTTGTAGGAAGATTTACCTGTGGAACAGGAACGATTGGTTGTTCATTCTCTGTGGTAGTCGACACTTCATTTAAGCTGCTAAAACTATGACCTTGGTCACCACCCTCGCTATTCCAACTATCCACCACTTCTGGGCCAGACCTTGGGCTCTCAACTTCCACTGAGCCGAACGAGGACCATTGGCTGTCTTCTGGGATTACTACCTCTGGGATGGCTGCGGTGGTTGGGATGTAACTTGACAAAAACGAGTCAAAATCCTGTTTTGATTGTGAAGCAGGAGAGAAAAGTGAAAAACCGTTTTTGTTTTTTGTTTTGTCCAACGGCGGGAGGGGGGGGGGCGTAGTGAGAGCCTTTTTTTTCTTTTTTCAACACCCCCCGCCCCTTGAGCAAAACAAAGGTTAAAATTGTGGTTACCATCTTTTTGTTATCTTTTTTTTTGCCAGGGGTGGGGGCCCGTCTTTTTTATTTTTAAGGTAAAATTGTGGTTACCATCTTTAAAAAAAAAAAAGGTGGGTTGGGGAATGCAAGTCCGCAGGAAACACGATACCGAGCTTACTTACAGCCGAAATTGAATTGTGTTAAAGGAATCGTATTTTGAAAGAAACTGACTTGGATTGAGTTGGAATTGTAATTTATTAACAAACTAATGACCATAGTTAAACACAAATATCTGATAGCGCAACCCATTTTGGCATATTATGGAATAGAGTGTAATACATTCTTTAGGGACTTCAAGTTTGAGAGATTTTTTCCCCTACAAAATGGCTACTAAATATAGCAACCTTTATTACCTATACACACAGCTGGCCCCCTAAAAAATACTTCCTTGTTTAAGAAAATTCTCCTTTGATGATATAAATGGACTTTGTAGTATCTCATTGCACGCTCATATCATGAAATCGGTTCTAGGACGCCTACCCCCTGGACATCCACCCCCGGATAACCATCCCATTCAACTACCCCCTAGGGCAACTACCCCCTTGGGCAACCACCCTCTTGGACGACTACCCCTGGGACAACTACCCCCGGACAACTAACCCTCAGTAAACTACCCCTAGGACAACTACCCCCTAGGACAACTAACCCCCGGGCAACTACCCCCGGACAACGGGATCTCAGCAAAGTGTATTTATGCGGCCCGTTACCCGGGGCAACGGGCATCTTTTAAAAACCTATTAACCGGTAGGCGGGCATGGCTGAAATCACGACTCCAATTTCGACCAATCAGATGGCTAGATTTCTAAAGAGAGGTATATAGGGGATAATCAGTAATGTCAAAATGTGTAATTGCCCCGGCCTCCCCCCCCCCCCACCTACTAATCCCTCTAGAATGGGACGAAAGTCGATCTTACCCCAATTTGACGTGGACATGAGGCTGGGACCCGGCACCGGATCGTTTTCGATGATGGCCCAATGCAGTGTCTACCTCTCCTGGCAGGGGCCGGGTTGTCGCAGGTTCTGATCTGATTTCGAGTACTATATCCACATGTAGAGGAGCAGGGGGTAGAATCTCTCCACGCACTCCAGCCGCCGTGAACTGATGACAAAACCCGGAAACTAAAGGATCACTGGATTACTTAATTGATTTATTTATTTACTTCTAATCTTTTGTCCGGGTAGCCCATTCACCAACAACCAGGGGCGGCGATCCCGGGAGGGAGAACAAGAGGACACACACCCCCCTCAATGTTTTTAGAAGGGGATCGTCCCCCCCCCCCCGGAAAATTTGAAAAAGTGCTCCAATAAAATGTATAGGCTATGGAGGGCCCAAGAGTGCAGCGTTTAGACGAATCAAAAGGCAAAAATCTTCTAGCTCGATAGCTACGCTCCCTCGCAAAATATTCTTGAATACGAGTAAAATATTGTTTAAGAAATAAAGTGTGAAAAGAGTATATTGCTTGTTTTTATACTATAGTTTTGCAAAGGAATGTAATTTTTTAATACAAGAAAACTTCAAAAACCTATGAGGGGTAGCAACTTCCGTCACTTTCACCCCTCTCGTTTACTATGCTCCCTCGCACTGGCGTATTAATGGGGGAGGGGGCTTCGGGGGTAGTTGCCTCCCAAATAAAGTTAAAACGTGGTTTATTTAAAATTCGATACCAGTGATTTAACAAAATGTTGCTTTAATGGCATAGTTTTTGCCTGAGCTTTCGAGGCTCTGCCCTCTGGACCCTACCTGGTTGCTCATCTGACCGTAATGAAATGCCTAAAACACCTGAGATTTATGGGTCCCCGCCCCTTGACCCCCGACGGGGCTTTGCCCCTGTACCCCATGCCAATTTTCGCTCGCTTTGCTCTACACTATCGTAAATGCCCCCCCCCCTCACCACTTTAAAACCGTTCCGCGGGCCCTGCATGTAACATATAAGAGTGGGGGTGATGCAAATTCTTTTTCTGCCTCCCCCCCCCCCCCCCCCAAAAAAAAAGTTTTTGCTCATTACGCCACTTTTCTGGTCCCTCGCTTTTCGTCCCCCCGGAAATGAAAAGAAATCGCCGCCCCTGTCAACAAGACAGTGTAAGAGCACTATTTTTTTAATTTAATTTTTTTTTTTTTTTTTGGGGGGGGGGGGTTTAATTTTGTTAGGATATATTCAACGGCGACTCAGCCAACCGGTGAATAAGCAGGAGAAGAAACACTTTTTTTTCTCGAGCGATCTTTAAAAAAAAAAAGGAAAAAAAAATTGTTTTGGCCAGGGAGGGGGGGGGGGTCAGGCCCGTCAGGCCCCCTCCCACCCCCCCCCCCCCCCCGTCGATCCGCGCCTGGTCCACACTGTGGTCAGTGGCAGACAAAATCATAGAGTATGAACATCGGATCACAGTCTCACAGTGTTTTAGGGCTATGTGAACACACTATGTAAAAACAATCATAATATACCGTGTGTCACATTGTGATAGATTGTGGATATAGAGACAAAATAGAGAGAGCAACGAAAGTCTCTAAGAAACGTTTATTTGAAATACTTTCACATTGTTCGAAAGACTGTGGTATAGGCTCTTGACTCTCATAAAGGTCCTGGGGTCGATCCTCGTTCTTCGGTGCTTACACCCCTTGGATAGACCTATAAGGTGTTTTCCCTACATAATTGTCCCACTCTGCCCAAGTGTGAAAGGGTACCTGGCAATGCTCGGGCCCACATAAAGAACAGTGATAAGTGGCTACCATGAGTAAATATTAAAGACGTAATTCCCCTATAATTAATTTGTTACTTTGAATTGTGCAGTATGTCAGTACATGATGACAATTGTGACAAGCTAAATGGAGTCGCATGCACTTACATACATACTAAGCGTTGTAGCATAAGATATTGCTCATTACGCTTTACATCAATAATGGCAAACCGACAATAATGAACAGAATTTAGTTAGATTTTTTAAAAATCAGTCAAGAAAGGAGTGTGTCTTTAAATTTGTTTCTTACCAGAAGCGAGACTTGTTGCGCTGACAAGGAGAACACCTACAACACTCAAAGAGACTTTAGTCCTCTCCATTTTCACCATCGTGTCAGTCTAGCTTGTGAGAAATTAATTTATAAACTGATAAAACTATTAAAGCGTCTAACGTCAACCAATGAATGAGCCTCTCATCACCTCTGATTCTCCCTCTCTCTCTCTCTCTCTCTCTCTCTCTCTCTCTCTCACACCGGCCCACACACACTCTCAATAAACTTCCGTAAAATGTTGACGGAAATAGACGATGGGTCAATGATTTTTTTCCAATCAATACAACTAAAAAAAACCCGCATAGCCAGCTCATTACCAGTGATGGAACCAGGAAATGACATTTGGGGGGGGGGGGGGGGGGGTGGTGAGAAGCGCATGCCCCTAGTCAAAATACAATCCCTCCCCCATCCAACCTGATGACACATATCAGATTTTATTGTTGTTTAATAGAGATTTTCACACCTTATTTCAGTCTTGAAGATATCAATAGCCTTTTTCCTTACAGAGATTATGTCAGAGATTTTGGGGAACCACTCGTGTGCCCCTTCCTCGTTCAAAATGAAATATCGGATGCAAAATAAAAGTTCAAGAGGGGTTGTTGTGAAACGTGAAGTTATTATCCTCTTTCAAATTTATATTTTGAAGCTATTGGCTGTTATGAATCGCTACATAACCATATAAGGAGACTTTTCTGTAATTTTGTTCTTGTTACTCCAAGGTCTCATACCCCCCTCCCCCTTACATACAAACACACACACGCGCGCGAAAATATGATTACATAAATAGCATTTATAGTTAAAAAAAAATAAAACATAACTGCCGTTGTTATATGCTTATAGCATAGACAGGGGGGTGGGGTCATCCCCTCGGGCACCATGACCCCCTAGCCACGTCGCTGGTCACACAGCAAGACATTTTCAGTTTTGACTTCCTCATGCCATAATTTATTTAAAATTCCCCTGCCAGAAAAATCAAACTTAAAACTGACAATTGTTATATATGGTTTAGAGTGGCAGTGCGCCCTCTTGTGTTATGTACTGACTTGACAACCAGAATGAAGATTACTAGAATAAAGCACTAACCAGTTGAAGTTGTAAACTTTAAACAGACTTTATTGCCTATTATGTAGAGTCAAACAAAAGCTTAAAACATGGTGTCAGAAGTGTAGTGACCATGGACTCATTCCTGAAATCGGCGTACAGCCAGGAAGAATAATTTACAGGGTCGAACTGTTCACGTTCCGAGCAAGTTTGCAGCAACCGAGTACACGCGAAGTCGTCGTACAGTGGACAGATTAGCGAATGGTTCGTAGCATAGCATCCATAAACGCGACGTCGTTGAGCAGCGGTGAATATGACTTATGAACATTGTCGCAATAGACTTGACTCGTCAGTCGATGTAATGTGAACTATCAATAATAATTACGATGTTTAGTTATTTTGGTTGTTTTACGTGTGCATTGTTTGGAATGAAATGGTGTGGATTTATGGAAAGAGTGCATTAATATCAGAATTAATACTCGATAAGTCCAATCAGTCTGGTTCATTCAGTGGGTTTAGCAGTATAGTTTACTCCGTATTAGAATTTGCTGATTTGTTACTGTAAGTGTAATTGTATAGGCGGTAGAGATAACCATGTCTAACACTGAGGCAGTACAAGATCCTCCCCAGAGGGGAAGTGAAGAGTCAGAAGGAGTAAATGAAACTGGGACTAACCAGGGTCAGGACTTGAGTGATAACAATACTGATAATGATAGTGTTAGGACCAGAAATAGGCCGGGCAGTACAAGTAGAACAAATGTGCCACTCCCAAGACCTCTTTCGGTAAAAGGGGATATGAAGAAAAACTGGGGTATTTTCACCCAGATGTGGGACAGTTATGAGGTCATAACTGGGTTAGAACACGAAAGTAATAAAATTCGTGTGGCACATTTCATAACGGCACTAGGAACTGATGCATTGGAGATTCAACAAGGCCTCCCTTTCAGAAATGAGGAGGAAAGAAAGAGTTATAAATGCATAAGAAAACTCTGGTCTGAATATTGTGTCGGGCAAACAAACATTACTTTTGAAAGATATCAGTTCAATAAGTGTGTTCAGAATACTGATGAGTCAGTTGAGAATTATTATGTGAGGTTAAGGTCTCTTGCAAGTACTTGTGAGTTTGGTACTCTAACTGATGACCTCATCAGAGATCGAATCGTTCTAGGGATTAGAGACGATAATACAAGAAAACGTCTTTTGCAAGAGCCAAATCTTACTCTGTCTAGTTGTTTGGATATCTGCAGAGCTATGGAGTCGTCCAAAGCTCAGAGCAAAGCCATGCAGGAACCAGTATCTGCCTATGCAGTGTCCCATAAACCAAAGGTTTGGAAGCATAGTGGGGGTAAGGGCAAGAAGCTAGCTCCTAAATTGATTAATTGTGGTTTCTGTGGTAAGCAGCATGAAAAAGACAAATCAAAATGCCCAGCTTATGGCCAAAAGTGTAAGCTGTGCAAAAGAGAAAATCATTTCGCTGTGAAATGTAGACAGAATAAGAACAAGGCTCACAGAGTAGAGACAATTGAAGAGGATGAAGATTCTGAACAAGAGTGTGTATATGTTTCTCTGATAGGCACAGATGAAGCATTTCAGGTATCTGCTGATAGTAAGAGTCCAAATTATCAGAAAAAGATCATTGCAAAGTTTAGAATCAATGACGAAGACGAGATTGGTATGCAGGTTGATTGTGGAGCGACATGTAATGTTATCCATCTAGAAGATGTTCCATCTGGGACAGAGTTAACTAGTACAAATCAGGTTCTGATTGTGTATGGTCAAGGAACAGTACCAGTTGCAGGGAAATGCAAGTTGCATCTTAGGAATGTAAAGAATAACAAGAGGTACTTAGTTCCATTTGTTGTTGTGAAGGGCGAAGTCACAAGACCACTGTTGGGAGCTAGTACAGGCCAGCAGATGAAGTTGATCAAAGTACAGTATGAAAACATTGAAGTTGTTCATGCAGTAGCTAATGATGATATTCTGATCCCATACAAGGATGTATTTAAAGGGTTGGGTAACATGCCAGGAGTAGTTCATTTGACCTTAGAGGCTGA